CTGGCTGGCTGGCTGTCTGTCTCTCTGTCTGTCTGTCTGTCTGTCTGTCTGTCTGTCTGTCTGTCTGTCTGTGCGTGCCTGTGCATGCGTTCGTGTGCGTGCGTGCGCGTCTTGCTCAACTACCATTCGACGATGCCATGGTCGTCAGAAGTGCACGCACACACTGACACACAGAAGACACTCGTCATACAAGGACGATTAGGGGCATTGTTCCGGCTAAAGTAGAGTCAAGAAGCTATGGTGCAGCCGGTCTGCCGATCATCCGATTCTGCGATCAGAAGCGGAGCTGCAATCAGATGCATTTTGTTTGCCTTGAGTTTTGAACTGCTTTTGTCTTTACCTGTCAGAGGCTTTTGCTTGCAACAGGTGATGGGGAGCCGTCATTGTTGCTGTGTGTCGCTACATATGGCTTCAGACACTCGTAGGACCTTACCCCTGACATCTCTTTCAAAAAGAGACGCTCTTGGGTGATCCGAGTGCATCCATGACGGAGCGTTGGCGTGACATTCTTCATCAGCTTAGCTCTGAACTCGAGAGACAGTCCGCAAAATTGCGTGATCTCGAAATCGAGAACGAGCGGCTACGCGAAGGCAGGCTCTCTGCTTCATGAGTTGGACATGGGCAGGAGGAAAGAAATTAAGTAGGCATGACTGACGCGCCAGGTGAAGTTCCATCGATAGCATCTCCAACAACTTCACCTATTTCTCCAAGACCTGATGCTTTGAACGTGCTTGAGGAGAGCCAGAACAAGGGCAATCGGAGTGAGTCGTCATACAGTGCAGCATGCCAGTTGTCAGAGGTGAAGCCGTGGACTGGGAACGATGACCGAGACGAGCAAGAGGGCCCAACCCGGACAAACACGGACGGCAGCTGGCCTAGTCGTGTGTAGCTCTCGAGACAGCTATGTTTCAATCTGCTTTGATTTTGGACCTTGGGGCACTCAGGCAAAGAGAACAGCAAGGACACCGGTGGGGAGCTTGAGTCGACCGAGCCGGTACGAGTTTGGGGCTCAATGCAGACCTTCGCGGCGAAAGATCCTGATGCTATCTTGAAGGCCAAGTTCGCACAAATGCGCACGACCCCAACCGCCAACTACGAGAGGAAGCCTTGGTATGTGGTGAATCCACAGAGGAGTAACAAGTTTGCGGCATGGCAAGTGGTGACCATGGGCGCCTTAGCCTTCGTTGTAATTGTGGTCCCCTACCAGGTTGGCCTCTTGGAACTAGTCCAGTGGGATCTCCTCCTTACTCTTAGTACGCTCGTGGACTTTATCTTTCTGATCGACGTGTTCCTCCAGTTCGTTACGATGTACCCTCGCACAACTCCGCGAGGAATCGTGTGGGAGCAGAGGGTTAGCAAGATAGCTTGGCACTACATGACATCGTGGTTTGCTCTGGACTTCATCACCTTGATCCCCTTTGACATCTTTGAGCTTACCTTCCAGGCAGATGATGTCGGCCTAGGCAAGGCTAGCAAAGCAATTCGAGCTCTCCGACTCTTGAAGCTCATGCGAATTCTCAAAACCTCACGATGGCTTCACAAGATTGAGATAGCTATTTCGATCCCCTACCAGCAGTTTGCATTGTTCCGCTTCTTGCTCATCTTGTGCATGGTTTGCCATTGGCTGGCGTGCATATGGGCTATGACGTTGCAGTTGGGCGAAACAGACAAGCCACAGTGGATCAACGACATCGAAGCCATCGACCGCTTCTTCGGGATCGAAACCCGCAAAGATCCTATGCGCACCTACATCAGCTCCCTCTACTTCTGCACCTACACGATGACTTCCGTCGGTTACGGTGACATTGGACCGAAGAGACTTGGCAGACACTGCCAAATGCATGTTCGCATATGGCTAGCAGCTGGCAGCTCTGCGAATCGACGTTCTTGCTTTGCTGAGGAACATCATTGAACGTTGCGTGTGCACGCTCATTGTCCTTACGGCGGGATTGTGCTGGGCCTATGTGCTGGGAGAAGTTTGTGCGATCGTCAGTGTAGCTTGGAGCGCGCTTAGCCATTGTAAATGCTGCCTACCGAGCTTCCACATGTCAGAGTGTCAAGTTTTACAGCACCTTGAGTGTTGGCGATGTCGCAAACGAGGACATGAATGCTGAGAGCCAGGGCTTCCGCAAGAAGATGACAGAGCTCAACAGAATGATGAAAGAACAAGGCTTCTAGATCAGCACTTGGGGCACTTGGGTCTATATTCGCATTGGTACCGTGCGAAGACAGCTGCCCGTATACTGCGCCCTGCTTCATGAAAACCCCAGGTTTGCCATATGATCTGCGCTGCCGAATGAGGACTTTGGGAACGGCCAAATTTGTTGGTTGGCGCAGGGGATCGCAGGGGACACCACTTGTTCTCGTGATTCATGGTGGGGCCTATTTCAGACACCATCTTTTCTCCATCCCCCCTGCGTCGCGGCTTCACTCACGAATCTGCAGTACATAACCCCCTGAAGCTGCGGTCAGCAAGCAGGAAAGACGGCAACCTCAGCAGGAATTGCTCGAATGCAGAATGCCGAACATCAGCGACAAGAGCAGTACAGACACATGCAGATTAAGGAGAGTCAAGGCAAGTTCACGAGGAATTGGTGCGGCGATTGTGCGTTAGGCGCAAGACTCTTTCGACTGGCGTCTTTTCCGTCAGCCAAGGGTCCAAGAGGAGTCCTGGTGCGTGCACTTCGATTCATATTCCCGGCAAACTAGAAGAGACAGAGAGGACAGAGAGACAGTCGCACACCCCCGGCAGATGCCTCTGATATTGCCTGCAGCAAGCAGGAGAGAAAGAGACAGAGAGGGAGCAGCCATTTTGGCTCTTTGTTCTTGGGGGCCTGTTTCGCCTCCTTGGGCATCGGGGGGGAGGCACGGGGTTAAGCTGAAGCTGCGCCATAGAGGCGGTGCGGCGGTGCTTGAGTCCTGCGCCGACGCCGTTTTGCTTAAGAGGCCCCTTTGCCCCCAAGCCTTCCTTAGAACCTGACCGCGGCCCCTCCTTCAGGAGGGTGGCCCGCCAGTAGGGGGAAGAGGCACTAAAATTTCACTGTGGAACCCGGGGAATTTTGGGGGGATCGACCCGCACTACCTGTACTTCGACTCCAACGATGGCAAGCTCTTCGGCAGACCCCACGCCCCTCGACCAGTCCGTCGAAGGTCAATAATACATGCGAGGAGCAGCGCAAGCTCGCAGAGAGACTTCGCGAGATGGGGGTGTCCTGCAAAGCATGCCTATAGATGGGCCCTCTTACCACAAGCCCCATGACAAAGGGGACACGTGCTACAAGTACAAGGTGGCCACAGAGCAGCTTACCAGCGTGGGACGAGCGTGTGACCTGCGCAGAAACATGGATGAGGACGATGCCAACCTACTGAAAAACGCCCAGCCGGCAAGATGGAAGGACGGGGGAATATGTCAACTGCATGACGGGGGAGAACTTGGATGCGGAAGACACCGACGACTAGCCCGCGCAATGAGCGACGAGGCACAGATCGCCGAGCGGACCGGCTTCTGGCTATAGTGGGGGAACATAACCCGCGCATAGAGGCAACGCTTCGCTTCTGTGTGGGGAAGCACCTGTGGAACGTGGCGGACCTTCTCAGCTCAGCCTAAAGTCTTCAAGAAGACCATAGAGCCATGGAGGAAGCGCAGCGCAGAGAGCAAAGAGGGGGACAAACGAAGAAGCAGACCCAGACGGGGGAGAAGGAGCGCCAGAAGCGGAGCCGAAGACGAAGAGACCAACACTTGCCGAGATGTGAAGGGGCAGCATACAGTGAGAGAGAGCATAATCTGTGCATGTTTTCTTGACCGTATGTGTGGTGTTTGGTGTCAAATCTATAGCGGGGAGGGCGGAAACCTTGCCCATACCCGGCCCGACCTTGGCCGTCAATCCTGGGCTCTTTCTCAACACCACCGATGTAAATCACTCCGGTGGCATATATGATGCTGAATTCGGTGGAGCCTAGAAACCCATAACTCACCTCCGCTCCTTTCAATGTCGACTGATATCACTCGCTCGAAGCAGCGAGGAATGCATGTTTTTCCTCAAAGCTACCGCATTTCCAAGCTCACCTTACTGACAATCGGGGGACCCTCCTAGCATGCCATACTCCCGCATTACTCCTAGGTCGAAGTTCAATTCTCGTGACAGTCAGTTTAGGAGCAATGACATGTGCAAACCAGCCGAACCGCACACCAGTATCACCAGTCTGCAGTCAATCCAGTTCTCATATTAAGTGTTGCTTTGTAGTTGGCCGGAGCCCTACTTGACTTGGTGTAGTGACGCCGCAGAGTGTGAGAGGGGAGTGCGGTCCTGTGTGCTTTGTTTCAGACCGGGGATCGCGTTCCTGGCTGAATGTACAGCCGAGCTTATTTCAAGGTGGAAATGCCCGTGACAGAGAAAGACACCCGACGACCGCGGGGTTGCGCTTGCACGCGATCGAGGTTCAGGGCTGGACAGAGAGAGAGAGAGAGAGAGAGAGAGAGTACCCATAGCCCTGCCGAAAGAAAGAGAGAGAGAGGGAGGCCATTTTGGCTCAAGAGCGAGTGGTTCAAGGCCCGAGCCCTGAGTGAGACCAGAGACAGGGCCTCAAACCCGGCCGCGTCGGAGAGCAGGCCGAGAGTACCTGACTTAGGGGCAATCGACCTCATCGGCATCTACGCGGGACTACGCGACTCCAGCCTAGAGGTTCGGACCCGCGAGTTCGTAAAGTACGCAGCACTTGGGGGTCGGCTGCCGTGGGGCGAGCGAGGGACGTTAGCAACAGCTGCCACACCGAGATCGGCGGGCCTACGGCCTACTTGTAGCCTGTGTCGGGGGCGACTTCCTCCTGACCTTCTACGCTGGGCGAGGGACCCCTTGCACCGGAAGTCCGTGACTTGGGAATCGCCACCGAGAATAATAAGCTCGCGATGACGTCGGCTGGGCACTCGCCTCTCGCAATGCAGGTGGACCCCAACTCCCCCGGGAGAATCTCCACAGGCCTTGGGAGCACCTCGGAAGCGCCGAGCCTCCTTGACATGAGCCCCCTTTAAAACGGGGAAGAACAGAACAGCAGGGGCTCACAGTGGATGCCGTCCGGGACCTTTTCAATTCCGAGGAGAACTACAATCGGCAGTGGGGCAGGTCAACGAGAGGGTGGGCACCTTCGAACAAAATGTGACCTGCCAGTTCGCAGAGACTTTCCAGAGGATGGCCAGAGTGGAGCACGAGACCGAGGCAGGAAAAGAAAAGCTAGCAGCCGTGGAGGACTTCTCAGCCCGCGTCACCCGTCTCGAGCAAGCGGGGGCCTCCGCCAGTGCGGGGAACAACCTCTCGGCGGACACGAGGCCGCCAGCCCTCATCATAGGCGCTGGCACCCGGACATGGAGACGCCAACAAGCTCGTGGCAGAACTTCGCCTGGACCTGGACATGAAGGACACATTTGTCCCCGGGGACAGAAGCGGATACGCGATCATACCGCTGACCCGCAGAGACAGCGAGACACAGGAGGACCAACGAGCCCGGGTGCAACATTGCATCAGGCAAGTCAGGAACGCGAACTGAACGTGACGATCAGCACCAAGCTCAATGGGGAACCCTCCCGGCTGTTTCTCAACATTTCGCAGCCCCCCGAGAAGAGGCGAAAAGTCCAGGTCGCTGCCAAATACAAGCGTTTGCTGCTGGAGCTCGGGGCACTCCCCTCGGATGTTGAGACGGAGTACTCCACAGGACAGGTGTGGTTCAAGTCTCGCAAGGTGGCTTCGGCAACCAACCACATGGCACCCGCAGGGAGCACAGCCACCGGCTCCGAGGGTTGGATCGACTTGCGCATGATCGCGGACAAGCTTCACCGGAGCATCGAGTCAGTGCAGAGCGCATGGCAGCCGCTGGGGGCTGTCTTGAGATGATTCGAGTCAGAGGCCCAGCAGATGGGCGCGCAGTTTCGCCTACCGAGGCACGAGCTGGAATTCGACCCTTTGCTTTGTACCTGGAACTTGGAGGGGATGACGCCGCCGAAGGTGTTGGACTTCCTCGCCAACTTCGGGGGACACCATGAACTTTGCAAAGTCACCCTTGTCCACATCCAGGAAATCATAGTGGATGTGGGCACCTGTCGAGGAGAGCGACAAGTGGACCCCGGTCGCCGGCAAAAAGGCAAACGAGTGGAGGGGGACAGCAATCGCCTTCAGATCGACTTACACCCATGTACATACCACCATCCACGATAGGGGCTGCTCTTTGGTACTGTCCAACGGCAAGCACAAGTGGGGAGTCATAAGCAGGCACATCCCACACCATGCCACCCTGGATGACACGCAGGAGATAATCCAACACTGGCTGCGCAGCAAGGCAATGGAGCAGAGCAGACTGGTCATAGGCCTAGATGCGAACGAGGTCTTCCTATCATCGGAGACCGCCCAGTACTTCCCACGAAGGACCGCAGCAAGGGGGGAATCCATCTTGCATTGGATGACGGAGAATTCCCTGGTCTTCCCGCCACAGGAGCTGCAAAAGCCGACCCATTTCCCATACTCGGGGCAAACGCCCAGACGCCTCGACTACCTGGCGGTGAGAGGGTCGCACCTTCGAGAAGGCAAGGTGGTCGGACCACGATCACCGCATCGGGGGACCAGCCATTGGGGACCTCGCCAATTGCGACAGAGGCACCACGAGCTGCTTGACCAAGCATACAACCAGGGAGACCCACACCATCAAATTGCGGCAATCTTGATGGACATGAGGATCCGAGGCAGGGACAGCGAGATCTTCAGAGAAAGCAAGGAGCTCAAGATGGCCCGACGAGCCGCACAGTTGGTGCCACCACGGCCAGAGCGAAAGTCGACTTGGAAACAAGTCCAGGCGACACTCCGGGCCGAGCGTAAGGCGTGGCACACAAAGCTCCACGAGGCAGCCAGCAAAAGAGACTGGAGAGCATACAGAGCCCACAAACAGTTGCTCCGGACCAGAGAATCAAAACACTACCTGCTTAACGACGAGAACTGGCAGGGAGCCCTCAAGACCCACTTCGAGGGCATCTTCAACAAGGAGGCATCCGACAACGTCGCCCGCCATATCCGACATCGGAGGGGACCAGCTCTCGCACCCGGTGCAAACTGGTGGCTTGGAAGCCCTTCACCTTGGAAGAACTCCAGGTCACCCAAGCGAAATGGCCTCGCAGAAAAGCAGCAGGCCCAGATGGCATAGCATAGTCCACGAGGCACCCCAGGTGCTCACGCTCGCATCCTCTATTTCTATGTACTCAATGACGCGCTCTACCGGGGCACCCTAACAGAACTCCTGCAACAAGGAGTCACCGTGCTGTTGCCGAAGACCCCGACACCGTCGGGGTGGTCAGACACGAGACTCATAACCATCTCGTCAGCCTTGCTGAAGTGGCTGGCTCAGTTGTTGTTGCATCGCACCAACACCTGTTGGCGCCCCTCTGCACGCTTCAGCGGTGCTCCAAAGGCAGGCAGTCAGTTGAGATGCTGCTCGCCATCAGGAAACTGGCAAGGATGGCTCGCGATTGGGGCGCACCCCTTCATTATCGTGAAACTCGATGTGAAGAAGGCGTTTCCCTCAGCGTCCCAATGCAGCATGAGTGACCTCATCTCCGTCACAACATCGGGGAACACGGGCACCCATGGGAGGCACGCGTTTGGCTTTCTCTCCTGCGGATTCCCCGGTGGTCTTCTCTCGGCACTCATCGGGCGGCAAAAGCACTACGCAGCGGGGTACATGGATGATGTGTACGTCTGGGGCGAGACGCCGGAGCACGTGCAAGAGATCATCACCGTCCTCGAGGCGATCCTCGCGGAGCACGGCCTCTACATTAACCACGTCAAGAAGTGGGCGCCAGCTCCGGATCGCGGGGCACACGGTGACCACCCACGGGTCAGATCACCCTATCATGGTGCTGGGACCACCCCCGTCTCCTTTGCCGGGGGGCCCGCCCACTTGATGGCAGAGATGTCCACGCGGGCACGCAAGGCCTTCTACGCCAACAAGAAGACGCTGTGCGCCAAGACCAAGGAGGCTCGCCAGCCATCTGAAGGCACACAACGCGATCGTGCGCGAGGCCGCATTGTGGGGGGCACCCACCTGGCCGATACACGACTCCCTGCTTCGCAACGCGAACACGATCCAGCTGCAGCACACCCGAGCCATGATCGGGCTCAATCGCAAGCCAGGCGAGTGCTGGCACGAGTGGAACACCAGGACCCTGCGAGCCGCAAGGGTCACACTCCACAAGTTGGAGATACCTTGGAGTCGATTTGGAACCTTTGGGGGCACGTTGGCAGAGCACCCGACACCACCACGAGGGACCTCCTCACATGGAAAGGGATGCAATTCTGGACAGAAGAACAGCGAAATGAAAGCCCAACAACATTGGAGCGAGGCATGCAGGGAGATACAACCCCAACCTGGACACAGAGAGACACATCGCAGCAGCGGCGAACAACATGAAATGGTGGGAAACAGCCCGCCACAGAGAAGCAAGGCAGAACAAAGCCAAGGCATTCATTGAAAAGCACGACGTGCCGTGGAGCAGCGGCAGACAACCCGCCCTCAACAACCTCGCGCCAAACCGGCGAACGAGAACAACAGCCAGACCCAAGAGACGAGCCATCACGCATGACGATCACCGACAGATCACTGTCGGCCCACTCCCCCCACGCTTGCTCTTCCACCGCTGCTACACCTGTGTCCTGTTTTGTGCCACCTGCCACCACCACCACAGAGGAGAGAGAGGAGAGAGTTTTCTTTGCCTTTGCGGAAGCCAAGCACAACAGTTTCAGTCGCATGTCGCATCAGCTTGCATCTGCCACATGTCTTACAGTTTTACATGACACTCTGCAGCGAGAATGGAAGGGTAACACCCCTGCAACACGTACTGATAGCGCAGCTCAGCCTCAAGCGAGAAACCAGCTTCGACCTAGCCACCCCTGACTTCGACATGAAGGTGGCGCTTGCAGTACTTGCTTGGCTGGGGTACACCCTCTTTTGCCGAGGGGCCCTTCATGGGGTATCTCGGCTGGGCACGCCTGAAGGACGAGGCCGACACAGTAGCGGCTGTGAAACCACGCCGCAGCGACCTCGACAGCCAGAAAGTACCCAACCAGTTAGTTGAGCAACTCGCAACCCCTCCCAACCCGATCCAAGGAGCAGCTGAAGCCCTTGCAGCACCAGAAGAGGGGCACTCCCCACGACCAGACTCCTCGCCAGCAGCTGTACAGCCACTTCAGCCACTTCAGCAGCCCTCATCGAGCAGGATGAAGCAAGCCCCGACCAGCAGCCAGACGATGAGGACACCCACCCACTGACCCACTACCCCGTGCCACCACACGTGGCCTTTCAAGGGTGGAACACCTTGAACTTGGCAAGCCACCATCAGCAGCACCAGCCATGGCTCGGAGACCCACACAAGCAGCAGCAGCAGGAGCGGGACATGAGGACATGGAGGAGAGACCATGTCGCACAAGACCTGCCGCCTGCCACAACACTGCGGCAAAGCGGCCGGAGGAAGGCCAGCCGTGCCACAGCAAACACTACAGCCGAGCGGGCAACCACCACAGCTGGACACAAGCAGAAGCACAGAGGTACCTCAACGCCAAGCCAACGAACCCAGCCCCCCTGTGGACATTGCGGCGGTCCTGAGCTGAGAGACACGCGCAGAGACAAGGGGGAACACCCCGACAGCAGCCAGGAGGAGAGGCAGCGACGAGAGGGGGACCAGCCACAGCAGCAGAAACCAGCAGCAGCAGCAGAAGCGGAGCGCCGCAAAGAGAGGCGACCCCAGGAGTCCACCAGACCACAGCACAAGCAGCCAGCGGTAGCAGCAGCAGTGGTGCACCCAGCAGACAAGACGGACCAGCAGAAAGAGCAGAGACCGGGCAACAAGCCTCGAGAGGACAGACGGAGGCCGGGCAGCACACACCCCAGACTGACCAAGCAGCGAGGCCCAGCGGACACAGCAGCACTCCACCCACAACGGGGCACACACCACCCCAGACACAAAGCCCCGACAAGGGGGCACAAGCCGCAGCAGCAGGGACGGGCAACCGAGACCAAGCCGTGCGCCCACCACAGTAATTATTCAGCAACACCAGCGGGACTACGAGCAACAGCCAACTACCCCCTCTCGATCACGACCCCGCCAGCAGCAGCTGGGAGACACCCCCAAGGCGACCCCTCCCCGTCGACCCCGTTCCACCCCCTGCCCAAGCCACACAACAACACGGAACACCCAACACCGGCATACACTTAACAAGAGAAGGGCATGGTGAGGTACAGGCTGCAGCTGTACCTAACAGCGGGGCACACCCCCTTAACGTACCCACCCATTTTGCCGTGGGGCCAAACTTGTCCATTGTGTACCAGAGCATGCCCGCTGAAATCTGGCTAGCAGCCTCGATCAGGCAAATGGGGCACACGCCCCCTGCGACCCCCTCCCCACGACGGGGCGACAGTGGTAAGACGGGGACCAATTTTACCTCGGCATGGGGGTCTCCATCTTCACGAGGGCGATAGGCCCCTTACACCAAGGGGTACCCAACGCATGGCACCTTAGGGTGCACGAGGCACCCACAAGTTCTCCCCGCGTGATCAAGCCATCATCACCCAAAGAAATGGGCTGTAGAAGTGCGGACTCCTTGGGAGGCTACACACACCCCCTGCCGGGGCGACAACCAACTGGCGGGGCACCAGCCCAGGAGAGCAGAGCCCCCAACACCAGCAGCAGCAGTGGAAGAGGGGCAGAGCAGCAACAGGAGGAAAACCCCCCAAAGCAAGAGCAGCAAGAAGCGGCGAGAGGCCAGACACAAGCAACACCTACCCGCCAGGACGAACTGAGCCGCGAGGCAAACAGTGAAAGCGGAAGTGACAGCAGCCACCGTCGCCGTAGGATGCACTCCAACTTGTAAGGCTAGGCGAGGCACCTGCTGTGAAACACCTTTTGGCCTGCTGGTGTGGGTTAGAGAGGTTGGTTGTAGTTGTACATGTGAGTGTGTTTCTGGCCTGAGTTGAGCAGGGGCACCCGCCCAGTAGCAGGTTCAGGGTTGATCGGAAGGTCGAGGCAGTGCTGCACTGGGGTTCAGGCTTCAGTTCGGGATACAGGCAAGGTTAGGCAGGAAAGGTTGGGTTAAAGTAAAGTGAAGCCGCACCTGTGTACTGTTGTTGGATGCTTGCGTGCCCTGCCCCCACGGGGGCACAAAGGCCCGACGAACGGTCGAACCACCAATCCTTTTGAACAGCTGAGCCCGTCCAACAAAATGGTGGATGGGGTGCGCAACCGCGCGGGCCACGAGGGCTGCTCGTGGTCCTTACTTACCCCGAAGCAAAGCAAAGCAAAGAGAGGGAGAGAAATAATTAGGGGGAAACGCAGAGCTAGTCGATGGTGCCACAGAACGAGGCCACTTAGCACAAAAGGGGATGCTTTGATGCTTAAGCTGCTTAAGCTAGCTAGTCTCTTTGTTTTGCACCCCGCGGGGGATCATGTGATAATGTACTTTTATCAGATGTCTCCTTGTTTTGCACCGCGCGGGGGATCATGTGATACTGTACTTAAATCATATGCTGTTGTTTTTCGCAACACTCTCCCCGCCAGCAGTGGTCGGAGCCTCAGAGTGAGTGTGCAACAGTTGTGTAGATTGGTGCCATATGTAAGTGTATGCTCTAGTGTTTGCAGAATGACAGTTCGCAATATGTAGCCGTTGTCGTTCGTAGTGCTTAGAGGCCAGGGCAAGCAGGTGTTGCAGCAGGGGATCGACAGTTGCCTAGAAACACATGTTGCTAGTGTCTATTGAGGAGGAAGAATTTTATTGGGGGTAGGAACTTTACTGACACTGCTACGTTTGTGGTGAAAATGGGGGACAGTGGAACCTCGCTTTGCCTGTCTAAAGCCGAGCCACATGGGGCTAAGCCCCCCGTGGAAGCTTAAAACCTTGCAATAAGGATCCGCAGGCACGTGCGCGCGTGCGGGTTCGGGCGTTTGCTCGTTGCTTCTGTCCTGGGAGAGAGAGAAAGACACACAGAGAGCGAGAGTTATTTTGCTGAATGCTCGCCCGCTCGGAGTGTCGCGATCGGAGCAGGTCGAAGCTGAAATTTGCGTGGCAAAACTCCCCGGTTAGCTGCTTAAACACCTTACGTACATGTTTCGAAAGTTTTCCCAAAAGATTTTGATGCCTCCGACTTGGGTTTCGCCTTCCACAGGAGCTTCTTCCTGCAGAACCGCCACCAGGCTCTCTACATCACCCGCCAGAAGTTGAGGGAGTCAATGAGCCCGCAGTTGCAGTCGGAGATTAGCACGGCAGCAAACCTTCCGTGGATCTCGAAGGTGCCATTCCTGGAGAAGTTCATGGATTTCATAGATTCAGAGACGGCACAAGGAAAGGAAACCGATGTCTACAGGGCGTGCATCGCCGACGTGTCGCGGGAGTTGTCCTGCGGAGCTTTCGCACAGGGAGAGAAGTTCGACAACATGCAGGTGCTCTACATCGTCTCCAAAGGCATCGTTGCACTTAACAACAGGGTTGGCACCAACGGGGCCGTGTGGGGTGAAGACTTCGTCCTGTCCGACATGAGCCTCATCCGCAACGTGAGGGGTTGTGCCTTGACCTACCTTGAAGTGCTCTACCTGACCCGGGAGAAATTCATGAAAGTGGTGGAGAAGCGGACACGCACTTGCCCAGAGTTGGGAATCATCGTCAGGCAGTTCACCGTCCGCCTGGCAGTTCGCAGAGGCTTTGTTGCAGCAGCCAAGATTAAGGAAGAAGAATGGCAAGCGAAACAACTGGCCATCACAAAGACTGTGTCGTTGAGGTCCAAGCTATCCCATTATGCGCCTCTCCCACCAGAAATTCCAGACACGAAGGCAATCCGGCCAAACGGAAGTTTACCAGGCTCCCTCGAGGATTGACTATCTTCTGAAGATTCTGAATCTGACAGCCAGCTATGCTCTGATTCCTCTGATTTTGACGACCGCCGATTGATAGAGTAGACGAAGCACAGGACTATAATAGCATTGACAACCATATCCGTTTCACCTGCACTTGTACCCAACGAGATCATACGATCACCGGGCGCAGCTCGTAGAATGCATGATCCTTGACACTCACTATCGAGTGCTTTTTGCACTATTCGTCCTACAACCGCACCGCGGGCAAGGCAATTGTCGCACTTGCTCTTACGAAGGCTGTAGAGACCTTGCACTGGCAATACTTGGTTTGTTCGACGGAACCCCGACAGCCCGCAGACTTCTGCGAAAAGGTGATGAAAGCTCTTGTTGGTGCTGAGCCTGCCTTGAAACTTGAGTGAAAGCGTGCCAAGACTTGCTCCCAGCTTGTCGATCTTCATCTCAGGAGATGTGCACCGACCCGCAGACGTCTGATTTCTGCTTCCAGAAAGCAGTCCTTGATGAGGGGTCGGCCGTGTAGTTCTCTGCTTAATCGCCTAAAGAAATGCGGCCAAAGCAGCCGCACACTAATTACTGTGGCTTGATATTGTCTTCTCGGAAGTGATTTCCCCAAACTGACCGGCGTGGGTGTGGCTACAATCGCACGACAGCATGGAAGCTTGTGCGCGAGAAACCTACAGACCTACATGGTGAAGAAGCAGAGAGCAAGATCAAGCCGGATGGAACCGTCTCCAGGTTCACCGCACTTTCCACAAAGTCTGGCCAGAATCCGGGTCGTGCAGAGCAGCTGCAAGAATGCGCGCCGCAGAACATCTGCAGGCTCAGAGGCCTTGTAACAAGCGACAGGGACCAGGCGGTGCTTCACTGATGAAGGGCGCCGAAGTGAGTATCACTGTGCAATCAGGTCGGACAGCAAGGCACGACGACCTCCAAGCCCTGCGAGAAGCATTGCAGAGAGCCGCCCCCTCACAACAACAACACCTGGATCTAAGATCCAGGTTGATCGATATCGTGTTGCAGCAACGCAACTACATGGAACTTGCAGCTGTCCATATTTTGCTTTCCGTATGTGTCACAACACGAGCTTCTTCAAGGGCTTTTTATGGGCAGCCCCAGGTGATCCTCGGAGTGTTGCAGAGAGCCCGCCGAGGCAACCTGGAGTGCGGTTGCTGATCCAAGCCATGCAGAGCCCGCGGTCGAAGCCGCAGGAGCATCCCCGGAAGCTCTCCAAGGAGTGTTGCAGAGAGCCATGCTCAGAGCATCGACGATGAGTGAGAATCTCAGAGTCTTGGGAGACAGCAAGAAGCCTTTGACAGCATGGCTGACAAGGCCAGTCGTGGACCTCTCCGAGTCCGAGGGAGCAGAGGAGGCGCCACTTGTGGCGAGTCGAAGTGAAATGCCCCACTCCGGGAAGATCTTTCGAATGAGTAAGGTGCAGCTCGAGAGTGAGAGAGTCCGCCGCAGGCCTCAGACACTGGATGCCCGAGCAACTGCATAGAGTGTATCATTGGTCCCTTCCTTTCCTTTGCTACCTTCAAGACCCTTACAGGACGTGCAAAACCTTTTTCACATGCAGCAGGCATGCGCATGTTGGGGCCCGGCCCCAGAGACCTCCATGACCCGAAATGCTCCGTGTGATCATGTTCACGCACGACCCTTGGAACCCTGCTCGCCAGCACACTGCAGTGGTAAAGCCATTGCCTTGCCTGTACCAGGATTCCTGAGAATAGTCCATACCTGGCACACTATGGTGCAACAGCCTCCTTCAACATGGGTCGTAGCATACGGCGTGGCTGAGGTGGGGAACTCGCGGAAGCTCGGGCGCGCATCTTCCACAGCTCTGCGTGACTTCTAGGCTATTCGTTTCACCAGTCAGTTGTGGCGAGTGGCATGCTGTGCACAACAGCTCCCCTACGCGGCAAACATCCAATTTCCGGGTGCCTGCTTTGCTGACTCCATTGGCGCATCACATGTCTTGAGACAGCATTAGATTGCTTGCTGTGTCTCCATGTGGTTGCTCAGCACTTTAGCGGAGGGCCACGGCCCAACACCGATGTCGGCCCGAACAGGAACTGTCTCACCCAACATGCGCATCCATACGTTTCACTGCCCAGAGTAGTACAAGTGCCTACAGTGCCTACAATGTGCTGGCCTCACACAGACATAGCCCAGTTGCAGCCTATGTCGATCATGACACAGGGAGTCTTGCCGCCGATACATCTCCTATCCGAATGCCATCCAAGTCCAAGTCGCCCAAGCGAGGGCTGAAGAAGAGCCTGCACTTCGCTCATATGTGCAGCCCAGCATGTGTGAATCTCATGTCTGCTGTTTTAAGGAGCAAGAGTTCCTTGGTTTGGGGCCCGGTGTTTTCAGCAGATGGGGCGTAAAACGCAGCGTGCACCTGTGAGGCAAGCTCTTTGTCTACGTACTCTGGCGAGGATGACGAGCTCAGGCCGAATAAGGCGCCTTCGAGCGTTTTTCGTCTCGGTGTGAACAATTGTGCACACGTGACAAACCTGGACCCCGGGAGTGTGTAGTACTGGTAGGGCTCAGTAGGGTAAAGCTTGACGGCAAAGATGCGCCTGTAAACTGCGAGGAGAGAACCCGGAAACCAGATTCTCGAGCCCAGAGATGGGAGGCATTGTTGCAGCACTGTTGAGGTTTTGCCAAAGACGATGCGCACGCAGGGAAGCATTTGCTTGAACTATGCCTTCTCCATCCTTCTCCCAAATTACTCGCCATCTCAAGCCGATGCAGACGTAGTGCGCACTGTGACAGCCGATTGAACATCCAAGCACAGCCCAGTCCTTCGCACATAGCGTAACCGTAGCCAAGTGCTGCAGGAGGGACAGGGCGGTAGCGCGCCTAGTTGCCGTTGCCATGCTGCCTCGACTGCTTTCACAGCTTGCTCTTGAAGAGACGTTCGTCCACATTCTTCGTTGTGGTGCCGACTGCCGTAGAAAAGCTGCACCTTTCTTGCTGGTAATAAACTACTAACTACGGAAGCATGCAAGCACATCTGAATCATGAAATTTTGGCAGGCGCCGGCAGTCACGCCCACATCTTGGAAGGAAGAACTCGTGATGTTAGCCACCGCGCAATCGGTGGAAGTTTCAGGTACATCAAGTACGATGGGCCGCGACCAGACGAGGAATTCCTCCAGGCTCGGACCATCTGATGCCATCTAGACTAGTTGAACCCTTGAGCTGGCAGGCTCTACTTCCTCGCCCGAAGCGGGTGTTTTCTTTGTCTAGATTTACACATGTTCTCAGCATAAGCATCCAACCTGCTAGGATGAGGTGCCTCGTGTAACCAGCATCTCGGGGTTCGGTGGTCCCAAAACGACGTAGGCATTCAGTGAAGTCTCACGCCGATCAAATGACAGACCAAGAACCACCATACTCAGAGGCAGATGATGAATCCCGTGTTGATCTTAACAATTCTACTCGCTCGACAGCCCCCGAGGCTGTCCGGGTCGAAATGGAGGAGGGTGCCCAATCAATGAGGCGTGCACAGGAGTCGGTGCCGTCGGTCCTGGGCTGAAAGTTGAACACCGATGGCAGCTGGCGTAGCTGAGATGCAGACTTGTTCCGGTGTGGCCTCTAAGGTGTATGGTCTGCAGCTGGCGGGCAAGGCCACCGCAAAAAGTGAGCACACCATCAAACAACTTATATGGCCCATTCAGGTTTCTTTGTTTGTGCTGAGTCGCTGTCGAATCCTGCGTGAGGGCCGCCGGCTGCAGAAAGAAGAGCCAGTTGCATTGGAACGTCTCGTGGCAGTGGACCGGCTTTTGCGCCTGTCTTGGGGATGGCTTGGTAGTGTAGCACTGGTGACGATGTGTGCTTGGTGCTTGTGGGGGGTGGGGAGGATGTAAACCAGCGAAGTATCGATGGCAGCCATCTGAGAATTCGAGCAGTGCCGCAATGATTCTCCGCACCCCTGCATGTACCGAGTCTTCACTCCATGTCTCAGGCTACACTTCGCTGCACGTGGCGACTGCAGCAGGCAGTTGAGTGGTTTCAATCGCGAAGCGGGTACGATCACTGCCGCCTCGAGGCAACGCCGAGATGGTGGCTTTGCTGCTCGAGGCAAATTTTTTGGGTGCTGAGTTTCGTCCGAAAATTCCTCCGAAGCAGCTCCGTCTGACTTGCCAGTCTCGAGCAGATGTCTCACTCTCCACCGCTGGTAGCCAAGTTCCTTGCTAACTGTGACGTACCAGAAAAATTGGGTACAGAAGTCCGGACATTTGCCCTTTGCAGGTCTACCGATCGGAGCTGCCTATCCATTTTGCTGCTCAGGCTTCAAGAAGTCTGAAAAGTGCTTGAGGGCTTGAGAGAGCCAGATATGGCAGACGTTGGACCCGGTCTGGCAGGGAGGCTATGACATTGTATTGCGCCTTCTCGCCCGGAGCTCAAAGATGTCACAGCCGTACACCTCTTGGTGCAAGTTCAGTCTTTCCAGTGAGCATGCCTATGCCTATGCCAAACGACATCAGCGCAGTCTGAAGGCAAAATGCCCTGCATGAATGTGTGCGGGCAGCACGGTGGTTCTCATGTGCTGGCAGCTGCCGTGGGGAAGAACGGTCCCAGCTTTGTACCTGACTTCACACCTTTGCTATAGCAATCTAGCCATCTGGCCAAGAGAGATCCGCGTCAAACTGAAACATGCACCTGCGCCTAAACGGAAGCATCACGCCGCTTGTAAGAAGAAGGCATTCCGTGTGACTTCGAGCATAGGGCTTTTGGGATCCTGTGCAGTTTGGAGGCAGGTTGCTTGGTGTTTACAAGCCGCATGCCGGACAGTTCTAATGCTAAGTTCTAGCCCCAAGCGATGTCTCCTCCAATCTCGGATGCCAGGCACATGCTGCTGGAGCCGGCTTTCCTAGCTTCTACCTCCGAAGTTCCGTATGAGTAAGAGCTGAAGTGAAGACAAACAGTCTGAAGCGCTCGCGGGTCTTTCATACAACAGACAAACGCACCACTGTCCTGCTTCGGCGTTTCCCCGTGGAAAAGCTACCCAGTATGAGACTGTCAGTCGGTATCGACGAGGCACCTTAACAGAGATAGCATGGCAGCAACTCGCTCGAACTAGTATCGAAACATCTTTGGGAAGTGGATTTGGGCTTGTTGAAAGCTTCTTCAGCTCGATCTGGTTTGACTTTGCGACAAAAAGAATCCGAAAGACACCAGGCTTTGCAGGTCTCAGCAAATGTCTTCATGGGAAGCCAGTCGACAAGACCGCAGTGAGCACTCACACCTCCGCAAAACACCTGCTAGTGCATTGCAAGTAGACTCCAACACCCTGGAAGCCAGGATTGTAGATGGCATGCTGCACTGGAGATTGCATGAGCAGCAGAAGTCATTGGAGAGTTGACAATAGTGTTCGCGAAATCAGTTCAGTGCTCTTTCTCGCCAGCCTCCGCTTGCGACTTCGGATAACCGACACAAGTACATTCCACCTTCTGCAAAGCTTCACTAGGAGTTCCAGGAAGGTCCGAAACGCAAGGTACACTATGCCTGAGACCTTGAGACTCAGGCGGAGCCCACGAAAGCACGAGGCAAGGCCCTTAGCTTTAGTGAGGGTCTCGTCATGTTATGGTAGCCACTTCGCTGTAGGGAGCAGGCTGTCAATGTAGGGGGCCTAAGTTGGGAATGAGAAATTTTAAATGTCAGACACACAGGCCTTCTGGATGTTGGCAACGTCACTGGCTGGAATGCTCTGCACCTCGCAGTGGCGGCACAGCACCACGGCGCAGAGACCTGAGAGACAAGCAAGCAGGAAGCAAGTATTCTGTGTAGCTCCACCGCAGTCGAAACCAAACAACGTTTGACCCCTGTGTGGCAGCCGCTTCGGCTCACTTTCTGATCATCTTACGTATTACTGCCTCCAGCCCATCTCGCTGGTTTCTCAAACGCTGCTCGGCTTCAGAACCCTGCAAGTTGCTCCAGTCTCCAAGCTTTCACCCGAGTTTTGTCGCCCAGGAGCTTGGCCAGCTGATCCGATTGCGGATGACATGGATTTGGCAATGGCCAGGGCTGCTCCTCTTGCTGCCTGCGGCCATCTGTGAACCGTTGCCTGGACCGTGCCGGAACCCAAGCTGGCTGCTCGTGATGCTTCATCCCTGAATCCCTGAAGTAAGGCCATGCATAACTGACGATAGGTGTGGACTCAGCGGCGTTTTTCAAAAACGGCGCTGAACACTTCCGTGTCCCAAGGTTCGTGAACCTGATTGGAGCCGACCCTTTTACAAGCCTTATCAAGCCTTGCTGGACATGGTGGCAGGGATTCCCACTCGAAGCGAAACCAACCAAGTCTTTGTCTAGTCGAACCGGAGTTTGAACTAAACGTGACGTTCAGCAGCTTTGAATTCGTGTGGCGAGCTCGCGACTGCAATCGCAATTTGCGTGTTCTCCATGCAATGCAAATCGGCAAAGGTTCATGCGAAATTGAGTCTGTAGCCTCCAGGTTTGTCATGGCAGCTTGTTTCCAGGCCTGGCCTTGTCCGAGCCACGGGTGTTTCCGAAAGTGGGAGCGTTGCTTTTTCTATTTGCGCCTCTCTACTCTTACTCCTGAAGGCGTGCAGTGGTGACACTTGGTGCCAGGTGGTAAGCGGGTACATGGCCGCGGCCGAACCAAATGTCTAGCAGATTCTAGCAGTCTGCTCCTTCAACAAAGCTACTACGGAGCTACTATAGGTCAGTGCCGGTGTCATGGCACCTCAGGTCCATTCGGAAGAAGCATTCACTTCCCTGTTTTTTCTTGAGCATGCGGTCGTCGTTTCTTGCGCCATTATTCCGCGAAGACAGATTCAAATGCTGTGGTTTCCAATAGGCGTAGAGTTTCAGATCACTTTCCGTGCTTATGGAACCACGGATGACGTAAGTGCAGAGGGATTTTCAGAGATCCATGGTGAGGCTTGGTGGCTGGACGGAGCAAGAAATCTGTTCTGAGCTGAGGTGAGATGCAGCCGCCGCTTCCCAGGCCATACTGGGAGGATAGAGCGGGAGAGAGAGATGCCCCCTTACTCCCCCAGCAGCCACAGACGATGCTGTGGGAGGCCCCAAGGGTCCTATTCTGAGCAAGTTCCAGCGGATTCACGACGTAAGAGTTTCGTAGCGACATTCCGGAGCTTTTAAACGTGTGTAGAGATGCTATTGTCCCTCCATGCAGATTGCCCTTCCTCCCGGTTGGCTGCCTGCGTTTAACTGTGTTTAGGCATGATCGTCATAAGTGATGCCGGGCAGAGTTTCTCGTGTGTGTGCACGGCTTGATTCGCAAGCCCCAACAGTTGCCGTAGCTTTGGGCGTTGGTCTCGGCCTTCCAAGAAGTGACTTTACGTCATGTCCGAGAGCCACGGAAGCAAAGAAGAAGGTCACAAGGCGACTTCAGAGAATCACTCGGGAGGTTTTGAACCTCTTGCAGGCCTCTCAGTGAGGGACATTGCGCACCTGCGGCCTTGCCCAGCCTGGGGCGTTACCTCATGCAAGTAAAGAGCACTGCGACCTCGGCCTCGGCAGCTCGTCTGCAAGCTCCAGGCCAGTCCAGAGGTCGCCGCATGTCTGGCACTAAGTCCGTCATCCGTGACACGAAGAATCTGCTCGCCAACACGTCCACTGCCAAGCCATTGAATTGGCGGGCAATCCGCAAGTTTCCGGCAATGCCTGTGCGCCACCCCAGCCGCTGCAGCGAGATCGGTCGACATTTTCCGGAGTTGGCGTCCAGTGGCTAGGCGGCACCCAGAAAGGATCAGAGGAGCATGTCAAAGCCGAGAGAAAAAGTCCAGAAAGTGCGGGGTTGCTCGATATCTAAGGAAGCCAGGACGTGTTGAACACGTACGAAACTTATGCATGCCAAACGGCCGCACACACTTTCATTGTGGATCCTTCTGTGGCTTTGACTGCTGAGCTGGCAGAGCTGAGAGCTGGATGCATCAACGCGCGACCCAGCCGCAGCCGCATAAAGCTGCCCTGACCACCCCCGGTAAACTTACTGTAAACCTACCGCAAACATCTGTGCATTGTAGACTCCACTCTTGCAAGCGACGCGTGGCACACCGCTTCGAGGTATCCATGGCCACAGCTGCGGCTTGCGGTGAATACGACACACGCGGAGTCCCTGTACAGGCCATAGACATAGAATGGGGGAGGTGACAGCTTGGCGTTGAGAGGAGAGCCGAGAGCAGACGAGCCCTCCCCCTGGCATTTGAAATCCGTTCGAAGCGTCCACTGTAGGCGATGCGACAGTGCTTGCCGAGCAGTTGAAGATTGGAGTCAGCTCGGAGTAGTCGAAGTGGACTCGGATCTGCTGCTTGGAACACACGGAGACGGTAGCTTGGATAAGCCTGATCCAGCACTTCCGTGTCGGGGGTCCCTACAGGGGCTGCAAGCTCCTTCTCGCGCACGCTGCCGAGTGTAGATGTGCAGGCACCGTCGGTTGGTATCGCTAAAAGCTACACGTACCATATTCTCCAGCCTGATCCAAGTTTGTTACGAAATTACTTCTTCAAGTCATGTTTCTTTTCTCCACTGCTCATGCTCGAACAGTATTGGCTTTCATGACGAACTGCATTCTTACTCGGCGATGTGTCCTTGGGCCGCCGCTTGGACGTGCGTTTAAGTTTGAATCCGAGGCTTGTGATTCCCAGCCTGCGCTTTCCTGCGCAGCACCTGGGCTCCAAATCTCTTCACCTGCTCAATATGTAAATGCAGAGGCAGCCACGTGTGGCAGAGTGAGATCTGCTCTGTAGCTGCTGGTCCTGTGCAGCTCAACGAAAAGCAACATCAGTGTGCACATCCGAGGATGGCTTACCAGCACGCGCTGCTGGACTTCGTGCCGCAAGCATGGACAGCTTTGGACACCGTCAGGAGCTCTTCCAAGAAGCTTGGAAAGCTTAATTGAGCCCGACCTGACATCAGTCAAGCCTGCTAGTGCTTCTTGTAGTATACACCTGCGGCAATTCCAAGAGCAGAGGAAGATCTTGACTCACCACGCAGTCCAAACGGAGTTCCTGCAACTCCTTGGAGTCGACAAAGCCTCCTGCCTTCAGATTCTTTGCGCTGAGTGCCGCGCCTTGCGTCATCAGCCGACATGGCCAAGGCCAACATCTTCGAAATCCCCTTCCCTGGTGAAAACCGCTCTGACGAGTTTCTTGTTTGCGTGGCTCCGCACCGCACGATGCACCTTTGGCGGGTCTCTGACGATGGTCGTCCTCTACCGACCTTCGCCTTCGGAGACAGCGCCCGTAGCAGCAAACTGCGTCATGTGTGGCAAACGGTAAACGTGTCTCCAGGGTGTGAAGACAAGAGTTGGAAAGTTGAGGCAGACCTGATGCAGACCTTTGGCACCGAATGATCAACTGGCAGGCCGTTCAGTTGTCTTTCGTGTGTGCCCGTGCAGTTGCTGGGTACCAGCTGGGTACGGAGATGCTGTGGTGACTTCAGCGCGTCTTGGGCACAGGTCGGGCCTGAGATAGCTTCAGCGATTGCAGAGCGTGCCGGCATGGAGGAAGTTGCTTTTCGTTCCTCAACCCCCTGCACAAAACAGTGCTCTGGGTTGCGCGAGTTGCTAGGAAAGGGTAGCAGGTATTGCTATTGCTGTGGTTTGCCTGAGTGCGGTGTGATTTCGGCTGGGATGTTGGTATCACTTACTCTTGTCCTCACAGTGCTAGGCTATGCAAGCCAAGCGGATTGTCTGAGTAGATCAGAGTAGAAGGCGGGGTGCCATCAGCCAACAGAATCTGTACATGTGTAGGAACAGCAAATCACAGCTGCTTTTCACAGCCAGCAGAAGACATCTGCCATGGTCCATGAGTGATCCCCTTCCAACTCTTTTTAGTGAGTGAGTGTGAACGAGTGACAGCGAGTGCAGGTGTGAGTGTGAGTGTGTGTTTGTTGGGCTTTCAGTCTGTATGTCCCTGCACCAAGTTCCTCCCCAAATGCAGAGGACCTTGCAGCATTGCCGCCACGGGTCATTTTCTTGCAGCGCTGCAATGCCCGTCGTCCAATCATCAACGAACAGATGGCTTTGGCGACTGCAAGCCGAGTGGCCGGCCTTCATTGCACCAAAGCTCTCACGGCCACTGTCTCTAAGTACTACAAACCTACAGTTCCACAGGCCGCAGCAACACAAGTGATAGCAGAGTTGCAGGGGGCCAGACCCTGCGGGGTTTGCCAACTGCATCCTGAGTGAGGTATTACTGGATTCGAATCGCACAGAAGAGCTGGTGTCGATCTGTCCAGGCCAGGCATATCCGTTGTGGACGGTGGCCGCATCTGCACATGGACAGATGACCCAACCCATCCTCCACTGCGTCGGAAGTTAGTGCATAATCAGGCCGCATGGATGCCGTGGACCAAGTCCGAGAGGTGCGCATCTTTTGAGAGCGCTCTCAGTGCTCTAGCGAGATGTTTAACCGGCGCTTGCATTGAAATTGTGATGCGAAGTTGGGTGCCAGTACCAAGCCGTGATTGATACCCCCCTTCAGATCCTGCAGGTTCGATCAGCGCGCCTTGTTCTGGCAGAGCATGGGGGAGCGCTGGCCAATGCAATGTTCGTCAAGTCGGATGCAGGCCCCCCGAAGCACGTGGGCCAAGTCCCTTGTAGCGGCATAGCTCCGGGTAAGACGTCGGGCGTTGCAGTCCAATCTGGACCCTAAGCTCAAGCATGCCGGAGAACTGTTGCCGTTCAGTTGTGCTTAATTGCCAGATTTCCCCTACAGCTGTGCAGACGATGGAGCCAGGCATCATTGAATTCGTCGGAAGCGCACAAGCCCATGCCGGACAGCCAGGCAAGACTTCTTGAGTTTGGATGTCGCTAGGCTTGACCGCGTGCCTGCACCTGTCATCCCGGCCGGCCGGACCAACAGGATACTGGCCGCCGTACAAGAGATGCTCGGCCGCAGCTAAGGGCACAGTGGCTGAAAGATGAAAGGCTCGCCGCATCCACTGTCGCAGGCTTCTGGTACGGCGGGTCCGCGGCAACTATGAAGTTCTACAGGGTGTCTCACCTGGTAAGTTCGGTGCAAGCGAAGCTTCAAGGCAGGGCTGCCTCACATGTATGTCCCATCTGGCTTGCTATCAGGCTGTGCAGTACGAGCCAGATTCTGCTGGGGCCTGGAACATTCGGCTGGATGACCTTGAGGAAGCTCTTCTCCAGTGGATCGCACAGGAACGTGGACAGATGCTTGGCGTGTAGTACATACCCGCTCTGGCAGATTTCAGGCTTCGATTCCTGTGCCAACTACGTAAGGTTAGGGATTCCCCCTCTACACAGTCGTGTTGCACAAAGCGAGGCCGCCGCCTCCTATGCGGTCCAGCCATTGATTCGAGCTCTCGCGGTTGAAGACCACCCGCACAGGCCTGTGGGAACAGGCCTGGTACTGGGCTTGTTCTCGTGGCAGGCCGTCCAGTACAGTCTCGACTGCCCGTCACGCGAGAGTGTTTCACTCCTTTTTGAAGCCGCTTTTTAGCGGCAGTGCAGCCGTGTTTCTTCCATGCATCGATTGTGATCAAACTGTACTCTCGGAGCGATGCTTCTAGCTTCAAGATCACCAGAGTCAACCAGAATGTAGATTGCTTCAGGTCAGCGGGAGCTTGGCCCAAGCTAAACCTTCTGCGTCTAGTGATGGTACTGGCGGCAGTAGCAGGGCCGCTGAACTCTGGCCTGGCCTCCTGGCTTCATGATGGCGGCTTTAAGGAAGTCTGCTGAGCTGTGTCGGATCCGGTCCTCCGACTGAGCGAATTCTCCTCGGGCGCACGGCTGCCTAATCATGTTCCATTCCATGAGTTAAGACTCGCATAAAATGATATAGACCGAGCATCCCCGACAACAGAGCGAACCACGACTCACAGTGCCGACTCGCAGCGACCCATTTCCGAAGGCCTTCCTGACACTTTGAATGGGATTGCGACCACAAGAAAGCTGCGAGAATTCGAAAAGACAGGTGTTGGCAACAGTTTGTAGGTCGGCATGATGCAATGAGCGGGGTTGCAGATGCCAGAAGCCTCCCCACGCAGGGATCCGCCCTACCGATTTGAAAGCACAGGGCTTCATGTATCACGTCTCCCAGGCAATGCATTTCCTGCTCAGGCAGGATGCGGACTCGTCATGTGTGCAAGAGTCTTGCAATTTTCACGGTCTCGTTCATATTCCGTTTGTACAGCTCTCGTGCAAGCACTGCAGGTACGGTGCTAACATCAACTCCCGGAATGAATTGTTGGGAGGCGACAGCAGGGAGTGTGCACATGCTCGCCGATGATGTGGGCTAGCTGAGCAGGAGCCCAAAGAGTAGTTGAGGCCGCTTGTTTGCCAGGTGGCACGGCCTTGCATGTCGCGCCCGTGTCTCAGAGCCTCCCATGTACACCCGCATGTGACGCAGGATCTGTGTGCTGATAGTCGGCCTCCAAATTTACTTCCAAAACGCACGAAGGTCACGCATGGCATGGTTTGAAGGCATGGAAGCCCTTCTGGACCGAGATGCAAGCAGCTTAGGAAAAACATGTCGCTGTCAGAGCCGGCAATGACGGAATTTAATCTTCAGGCCGACCCAAATGCCACAGACCGTGTGCAACAAGCACCTCTACATGGCGCAGCACGGAGGGCAGAGAGCTCAGATTTTTCAGAACTGGTCCTGACATCATGAAATTGAGACAGCATGTTCAGTTGCAGGCCGATCCTCGCGCGGTCTCGCTTTTGCTCCGGAATCGAGCTAACGTCAGCGCACCAGGCTTGACGAGATAGGCATCAACAAATGAGGATCAACAAAACTATCAAATTCTGAAATGAAAGTTACTTAATTACAGTATTTGGATGTATTTGGGCACAATTCAGAACAGCTCCTGTCATCTGGAGATCTCCATGTTCGGCTAGAGTGGCTCCATTGCTACTGCGTTTACTGTTCACTTTGCTGTTACTGTCACGCGCACCATTAGATATATTACGCTTTGTCTAGTACAGCAACAATGAAACATGCTCAGTAACAGTATTGCCATTTTTAGTACAATGACTGCAGCTATGACGATGGCGATGGTGATGATGACGATGGTACTGATGCTAATGATGACGATGCTGATGGTTACCAGTAACATGATTCTTGACTATTGCTATCCATTAGTACTTATTCCTATTATCACCTTTAGCAATTGGAATACGATAATTGTCATTGTTTGCCTTCACTGTTTCCATTGCCTGTTGGTCTTACTGTTACTGTCATTATGGGATATGCATACTTCTACGGCCACTACTACTGCGACCCCAACCACCCGCCCGTGGCACCATGTCTCTGTCCCCACAAACCCCGCACCAATAAAGCAAAGATCCCCCAAACGTTAATGCCCCACAGCGCTGCGACGCTGGTTGGACAGCAGAAAGCCTCATCCTTGCTTGATTTTGTTTTGATCCCTGTTTGATTTTGTTTTGATCCGAAAGTTACCCCTCCGGAGATATTCTTTGATCCTAGACATTTGATCCCTCAGCCAGGCTTGACCTCTTAATTACAGCCTAACCGACGGAATCGAAACAACTCTCGGCGAACTTTCATCGCCCAACCTTAAGCTTCAGCTTGCTATGCTTAGCCATGCTTGCATTGCTGACCTGAGCAGGCCCTGACAACAAGAGAGCAGTAGATATCGCAGCGGCCCAAGGAGACTTGTCTTGCGAACTCACGCTTCAGAGTATGTGTCGGCACTTGCTGAAGGTGCCTTGGGATCATCCCAGCACGTAGCTCAGACAGGAACATTGCAGCATGGTTCAGACAGAAACATCAACTCAGCCGCGGACCCCAATATCAAACCAAAGTTACTCTGGTTTCAACTGCTGTGAGAAGGCGGAAACTGCAATGTCAATTGTGTCCCGCACCCCGTGAAGAATTGGACCTGCAACGGGCAGTTTCGAACGGACGATCTTACGCTTCTGGCCGTTTAGCACCGCCGCCGGTCAGTCTTTCGGACTCCTGAGCGCGATGGCCCCCGGCAACAAATCACACATCTTAGCGCTTAGGCATGAGTTGGCGCAAACGCCACCGGCAACAAAGCGGCAACAAACCGTACATCTTAGCCCTGGGGCACCAGTGACCCCAAGACACCGGCAACAAATCCCAATTGCATTTCGCGCTCGGGCACCACTTAGACTCGGAGACATCGGCAACAAGTCGCACTGCTACATCTTAGCCCTGGGCCAGGACAGGATGCCGGCAACAAATCGTACATCTCAGTATCTTAAAGTGCCCTTGCGGTCGCATCCGAACTGCTTGTGCAGTCTCCGCGGCAAAATGTACATGGGTGAATGATATCTGCATTTGTGTACATAGCTATGTCAGTCTGCACGATTGCATGTATGCATGTTGCATGTTTTTTGGTGTTGCATGTGTTTGCATGTACATACGTACGCACTGACATAAACACCCAAAGGATCACGTCCACAAAATCGAACTTGTTGGGCACTACGCGCCACGCCCACCAAACCGACACTCATGAGACTCGACTGTGACAACGACCAAAACACCGGCCAAGCAGGGCGTAACTCGGCAAGGACAACCACTCGAGAAAGCAACCACGAAAACACCACGACCAGGACATCGACTGCGAGATCGACCACAACACCGACCGGCACACGATTGAAAAACAGACCACCGCGCAGACAGCACAGTACCCACCGGGACACCGGACACCCGATCAAGACACGACCGGGACACTGACCGAAACGCGACCGATACACTCACCGGGATACGACCAGGACACCGACCACGACACGACCGGAGCAATGCCCAAGACGTGACCGGAACACGAACCGAAGCGCAACAGGTACACCGACCGGGATACGACAGGGACGCGGATCACGACACGACCGGGACACCGCGACCACGGGTCCTTCTGATTCAATTGCTTGGCTTTTAGAAAGATTGGGAGTTGGGAGTCCTGATTTTCTCTGCTGCCAAGATCGGGAGAGAGTGACGCTCATGCTTCAAGCTTATTCCCGGCCTCCACCAGCACAAACACGTAGCGTGTGCTCCCCAGACAGTTGTGATTGCAATTGCTGCTACGTAGTGAGTGCTCCGAGATCTGATTGACGGTTGCGGCATCATCGTTCTATGCTGTTCAGATCCCCTCAGAGTGTGCGGGTGGCAAGTGGCAGCTAAGGATGGGAACTTCCACCTCTAGAAGCCCGCCGTGTCGCATGTGCATCTGCGATGGCTTGTAGAATTCGCAGCCGAAGCGTTTCACTTCGATATTGCTTAAGGCAAGATTTTCCCGTGTGGCTGTCAAAGAAGCTATTGCGCAACCAGTATAATGCTGCAGGCTGCATGCGAGCAGAATTGCTGCAGTGGCAAGGACACGACGTGAGGGAGGAAGCAAGCGGCTAACAGGGCTTGCTTGCACAGCTTCGCCCTGCTTTGCTGTTAATGTGCGCAGAATTCCTCAAACATCCTCATGCAGTAATTTCGTGCTGCTTGGTGCTGAAGCCTTTCCACTCGAGCACTGGCACTCGTGCTTCGCAAGGCACAGGCCCGAATCTCCAAGCAGATGAGTTCGGAGCTTTCATGGGCTTGTCATGGGCCTCCATGTACTTCGGAGGCCTCTGCTCTCCATGGCCGAGCGACGGTCAGGTGAACCTGACCCCCTAAAAACGAGGCATTGTTTTTGCCTGGCTCCGTGCGAGGAGATGTCCGACTTTGAGCCGGTCACAGCCGGGCCGGCCTTTCAGGTGTGGAAGGGTCGAGGAAGGGAGGAACGGAAGATGGAGGAAGGACTGCTTGAAGGTCTCGATTAGCCTGAGACTCCTTAGACGGGCATTGATTTGGAGTCAGAGGCGGAGTGGGCCAAGTGGCAGAAGCAGCTACGTGAATGGCGCCAAGCTTACGATGATGCTCGGCAAGTTGGATCCTCGAAGGTTTTCGGAGTCTGTAGACATGTATTGAGCGAAGAGGACATGTGAAAGCCGGCATTTGCTACAGTATTGCGCCTACCTGTCAGTGAGGAGTGGCGCCAAGTGCTCCAGCAGCTCCAGGAGTGGGATGAGAAGGCGAGGTGCACCACCGACACTAACGACAACGGAATCGGTCTCAAAGATAAGCTTATGTTGGACAGCGCATGGCACTGGAGTAGTTCGGCGGACTCGCCTCAAGTCCAGGAGAGCAAGGGAATACAGCTCCCCTCCATTGATCCCAACTTCGATGTTTTCGGCGTGGAGAACATCCTGGATATCGGAGAGGGCGAGCCTCTCTTCGGGAATTTCGAATACGAGGCAGGCAGACACATGCAAGAGCAACGCATGAAGTAGCCTTCATAAAGCGGGCGGCATTCCTAGGACTGGCTTCTCCTCAGCACCAGGGCGGCCCCCGCCACGTTTTCCTATTGGTCAGATCGGGCACAGCAAATGTCCACTTTGGACTTCTGGGCATCATCTCATGTTGCTCTTGCTTGTGCAGCCGAAGCCGTGGCAGGTGGAGCTGCACTTGCTGGTACACCACTTCCGCGACGACACTGGCGGTGCAGTCTTGGACGAGCCACTTGGTGAAGTCAGTCATAGTATATAGGGCGTCGGCATCACAAGTTGCAGCTGTGAGGTCCAACCTGGCTCATTACTACAAATGCTACTTCAAAAAGAACTTCAAGCCTGAAGACTTTGCAGTCCGGGCCTTGACCGGCAGAATCTTGCGTGACGCCAAGGCAGGTTTTTCGAAGCTGCAGAACTTGGGGACGGCTTCAAACGACAGCTTCCAGAACGTAGATACCGGAGCCTTGTTCTCGGCTTTTCTGTGCCTTCTGAGCCATGGGCTGCCAGGGCAGCAAGCCTTCAGCACAAGCACCGAGCCTCAGCGAGAATACATCCGACTGCGGCACTTCCGCACAGCTACATTCTCAACATCTAGCCACTTAGTACTACGCAGTAAGAAAGCGTGGCTGCTCGGCATCGCAAAGAACAATTGGATGCCGCTTCAGTGACGTTACATTGTCTTGCTGTGCTGGCGCCACGCGTGTGAAAGGGTGACGATTGGAGGTGGCCCGGGTGATTGCATCATGTGGCTCTTCAAAGCACAAGGAATCGTAGCAGGCTTGTGTGCACGCAGTTGTCTGCCTACGGCATGAACCCGGCCTCGAGACTCGATGTTCTCGCAGCCCCCGTCTTCGCTATTTCGGGCTCTCGGGTTCAGGGTCGAATCGCTACCGAGATGTTGTGAGGAATGATGCAGTCGTAGCAGGTTGTGTTTCGAAGCTTTCCAGAACACGAGAGATGTAAGGCAATCCCCTGAGAACGTCGCCCATGGCTCAGCCCAGGATCTTTGAGCCGAAGGCCACCGAACTGGGCACCGAGTCCAAGGCATCCGAGTCAGAGACCCAGGAGCCCCTGAACCGGTCGGAGGAGCCCACGGAGGAGGCGTCTTCTTCCATTCTACCCAGTCTACCCAGTATCAGGCTTTCAAGGAGTCTTTTTGGTTGGATTGAATCCCTGACACGAAGACATGTTCAGGTAAGCCAAGTCGAGGTGGTGGAGGAGGAGGAAGACAGCCATGCAAAGGTCAACAAGATCGAGGAGGCGCCAGAGTTGGAAGACGTTTCCAGTTGCGGGTTCCTCACCGTTTGCTGGAGCGGCCAACCACGTTCGGGTGAAGCCTAAGAGCTCACAGCCCATCTTTGCTGCTCAAAGTCACCGTTGAGGTGGTTCGGTCAGCTGACGGTAGCTGCCCATCGTTTCCCTCATTTGCCTGCATCAATTCGTAATCAATGAAGCCCGCTTTCTTTGAATTCGGCTTCCGCTCTGATTCTGACGGTGCGAATACTCGAGTGCCACCAGAGTGCTCACAGTCAATGCTCAGTTGAAAAATAAAAACCGCTTTCCGGCAGGTTTGTGCAAGTTTAGGCCCGCCTCAAATCACGTCGGAGTTCAAGGTCAAAACTGCGGAAGAGGTTATTCTCCTGGTGGAGGATGGGTGTGTTGGCCGTATCAGGGGCAGGGGCTAGGAGCTTTCATCGACAGCTGCTTGTTGAGGGCATTCTTGCAGCAGCAATTTGTGAGTAAATTCGTGCGTATATGGAGGACTCAGTTTGCATTGAGAATGCCCTGCTGGAGCACAAGCTTCCGGAGAACACCTCTTGGTTGCATTTCCTGACGCTTAGCGGGCACATTTCAACCTTCCGCATGTCCAGTGAATGCTGAGTGCACGCGTTGCCGCTGACATCTATCTGTCAAGTCCCATCTGCCTCCCAGGAAGTCGACGGAGCAGCCCGCCTTTGAAAAGCAAATGCTAAGAACATCGGTGAGACAGTATTGCAGATGGCGTCCGCTGATGGACACCCACATCAGGATCAATGCTTTTATCGGTTGCCTTGCATGCCAAGGCAGCTGCGGCGGGAGCGGATGCAAGCCCTTGAGGCGACAGCGCGATTGTGCGACAGATAGGGTGGATGGGGGAGCCTTGCCGCTTTTATCCAAGCACAATGCAAGGCAAGGTCAGGTGTTTTTTGGAATACTTGCGACTGAGGCCAAGCCAGCCAAAGCAATGCGTGAAAGCCAATGCAGCCAATGAGTGGCTCAATCACGTCTGCCAGCAAATAGCGGGCCACGGCACCCGCTTGACACTCATGTCTTGCCCTTGATGCCGAGATCGGCGGGCCGCGTGGTCTGTACCTAGCCCTCCCACATGGAGAGCTCTGCAGATGAGTGCCTGTCCGGCGAACGAGTGCTGCATTTGCTACGAGGGAGGTCCGCAAGTACGAGTTCTCAGCTGCAAACACACTATTTGCACAGACTGCTGCCGAAAGATGCGTTCAACCAGCTGCCCCATGTGTCGGAAAGACCTGGCCTCAGCTGCAAACAATATCACTCAGGGCTTGGTCTGAACCCTTTGAGGTTGCGTGCATGTCTGTTTCCGCGTGCTGAACTTAGGACATCGAGGACTCTTTGCTGCTAGAGCTTCGAATTGTTCGAGTCCGGCGTCAGGGCGCATACAGCTTCTACATGGCCCTTCCACTGCTGGCCCAGGATGATGGCTCGAGCTTCTTTTCCACTGAGCATTACCCTGCAGGTTTCAGCAAATCTGGCTGTTTTGGCAACAGTTCTTTCTGCTTTGCAGGGGCGAATTCCATGAGGCCACACACAGTAGGTCAGTAGGTAAGGTGGGAACAGACACGTGCAGTTGCATTGTGCGAGACAGTGTAAGACTTGGCGATGCGCCCTGATGTTAGGCAGTTAGGAAGACTGTAATCGCCTTTGGGTTCCATCTGCGTTGGTTTTCGCTGCATGAGACTTGAACATCGCAGTCGTAGACAATCCGAGGCCAGGACTTCGAATTGTGCATCCCCCCATCAGTCTTGAGATTGGCCATCGAGCGCATCAATATGCAAATCGCTTCGGCGCAGTTTAGCGTCGCACTGTGTTGCGGCTGGAGCAACTCGATGCTTGCTCGACACAGAGTCAGCCGAGCAGTGAAGGAACAGAATGAGGAGTGGCGATATGCAAACATTCCATGCTATTTGTGCCTGTCTCCGGGATGGGCACTTGCCCAGAGCACTCTGTACCTGCAGTGGGACCCCGACCGTGACGTCATTTAAGTCGGCAGCAGTGGTGACCAAATCCCACGAACTCGTGGCGACAAGATCGCGGCCTCGTTTCGTGGGTTGCGCCTTTCATTTCCGGGAGCTTACGCAGCGAGCGATCTCGGCTGCACAAAACAGCAGGGTGCGATAGGGTGGGTCTGCACATCTTGGCATTTAGACTGCCACCCGACTGCTCAAGACCTTGTACATACATACATATGTATGTGAAAAAATATAAAAAATATATATATATATGTGTGTGTGTGTGTCAGGCCGGGGATGAGACTGTAACTCTCAGTTTCCCGGGTGCCGAGAAGGAGCGGGAAGCTGCCAGGCACGGAGTCTTGAGTCTTGTGGGATCTCGGATTTAGCGTGCCTGCTGTTTTTCCCACAGAAACTCGCATTGTCCAGGAAGAAGCAGGCCGCAAAAGAGGCTCGGAATTCAACACAAAGCATGCTGCAATACTGGATAACTGGGTACATGTATGTCTAGACCGCTGTCTTCGCAAGCCGGCGGGACTTCACACTCAGGCTGAACTCGCCGAAGCAGGCAAGGAAGAGCTGCGACCACTGGAGCGACGGAGCAGGCAAGCCGGAGTTTGATCGGACACGTATATGTATATGTATATGTATATATATATATACATACATATGTATACAGCGTATACATACAGCTTTATGTGTGTGTGTATGTTTCTATATATGTGTATATATCTGTACTGCGTATACATATACATGTGTAGGTGCTAGTTTAATTACCTCATGCAACATTAAACTTCTGCCTGTTCTTGATCCTGAGCATTTTTTGCTTCTTGCAAAGTACAAGTGCAGAACGGAGATCTCCAACCAAACATTGCAAAAATTAGGACTAGGTTGCGGAAGGGAAACAACTAGTACAACAGAGTCCCCCCGGTGCATCATGCACGTCGGGCCCTGAAGTCCTATTGTCGGTAGATCTCGTTCACATGTGGCGCCCCCACTTTTGCAAGCCATGAAATGCCATGACAGGGTGGGTTGGAGCGAGGAGGATTTTTCAAGTGATTTGATGCTACTGTTACTGCTCAGCGATCATTCGTTCAGGGCAGTCCTTGCACGTTCTGATATTCTTCGGTGCTATTCTGTGCCTTATTTTGCATTTGGCTGCCTATGTCCAGAATGCGACGTGAAGCAACAATGTAACAGGGCGGTGAAGATAGCGCGAAGTTCGCAGTTCCATTTACTTCGATCCTTCATTCGTGAACGAAGAGGTCGATGTTGTATGAGCATTATGTGCACTCCAGATCTGTCTGCGACTGCCAGCGGAGCAGGCAGTAATTAATTTTGTCGATTGCGGTCATCTGCATAAACAGGAACGAGACAGCTCGACATGCTGTTTAGCGTAGGAATAAGTCATTACTGCGCCCCATGTCAGGGAAGGGCGCAATTTTGGTTGCCGGCACGCCGCTGCAAGACCCTCCTTTCAGACTGTATCAGTATCGGCTTTGGCACAATAGGTGAGTCTTAAGCCTGCGGTTTGTGTCGTGTGCAGTGTTTGGCTCATAGCTTGCGAGTGGGAATGTAGGACGACTCCGTCACGAAATGCGAAATTCTGCTGCCAGTTGAAACTGTCTTTCCGCAGATAAGATACTTACAGCACAAATCTATACAGTGCTTCCGACGACTCAAGCATGTGAGGAAGCAGAGGCTGTTTCGGTTTTTGAGCATTGCAGCATAGAGATTAGGATAAGCCTAGGCACCACACATGCAATGCGAGCTCGTCCTTGCTAGGTGGGAGGGAAAAACACATGTTCGACCGTCAGGTGAGTCAGGCATGACTGGAAATCCAGAAGCCCGTGGTTAGACTAAATATCATCAGATGCGATGCTCGACCATGCACCTCGCCCTAGCCCTGGCCTGCGATTCTGCCGATGCGCAGCGTATGAGGGCTTTCTGTGCAGCGGGACGGTGCGGCATTTGGGCAGGACTTGCCAAGCAGCCAGGAAGATGTTCGAAAACGGTGATTTCGCACTTCACGTCCGCATCGAGACTCACCAAATGTCGGAGATTCTAGCACGGGGGAAGCCGCGAGCAGCAAGAAATGAGCTCTTGACGGAATTGACGACTGCTTTGAGGAGTTGTGGCCGGCCTCCACTGTTGTCACTGGGAATCTATGAGCCAAGTGCCCTGCGTGACCTTTTCCCCTTGATACTGGACGTGCTTAGGTTTTCTAAGCACCTTCAGGTTTTGCATTTGGCAGACATCGCAATAAGCCCAATTCGGGCTGCCTCCGCTGCAGGGTCGTTCGACATGGCACGTGCATTGGCGCTGATGAATGTCTTAAACTTCGTGGACCCTGCTTTGCCCAACGCTGGCAAAAGCTTGCGCGAGCTGTCTCTAACAGCTGGCACTTGGTCGTGGGATTCATTGCGCATTCTGTTTGAAGGACTGTCCAAGAGCTGCGTGCAGATCGTAAGCCTACGTGGAAAGTTGTTGGAGCCAGCTGCGGCAAGGGATTTGCCGGCTTTGGAGACAGTGTCTTCTTTCCACTGGAAAGGATCTCGCCTTTTCGTCCCCGACGGTTTGAAGATTATTTTGATTGCGTTGCCGGAGGCGGAGATTCGGTTTTCCAGAGAGATGTGTGGTTTCATTGGAGCGCCGTCTAAAGAGATGTTGCAGGAGTTCGAGGTGATGGCCAGCACCTTGGAGCCATCTAAACGTGTGTGGGTGGCTTGGGATGATGGCTGGAAGAAGGTGGAGCCTGGCTGTGGTATAGTTGGGGGTGCTGATAGTCTCCTGCGTCAACTCATGGTCTCCTCCATGTACGTGGCCTCCAAGCCATGGCACCAACCTCAGCTACCACGCAGGGGCATGACGGCCATCCCAGTCGACGGGCCAAGGAGGCGAAGCCTCCCCGCGCCTCACGTTGCCCCAGCTGAGCCGAAGTGCCAGGGCTAAAACAGTCTGTGTGCCGTGAGGCAGCCAGTGCCAGGAATGCTTTGCTACGCCCGCTGCAGTCGTCGAACAACTCCACTTAAGCAAGCTGTGCTTGCATGCTCCAGAAAAGGCAGCGAGCAGCGTGCACGGCCTGAGGCGAAAGCAATGTGTGTTGTTCCTAGTACTCGGAGGCCAAGCGGCCCCAGCGGCCCTGCCAAGCGGCCTCTCCGGGAGGGGCTCCGGGAAGCCGCTCAAGGCCCAACCAAGACCCTCCGAGTTGACGAAAGGCGGGGGAGAGCCTTTTTGCGCGTGCAGCATTGGCAGAAGAAGCGGGTAGAGAGACTCTCCAATTTGAAAGATTTCTAGGATCATTGTCAGGAAGCTGGTGTGCTCAATGGTAGCTATCAGCTATCATATCCGTGTGCCAAATTTCAAGTCGGTTGTCAGTTTTCCGGGTCCACTGCTCAGGCGAGGTGGTGATCGGGAAAGAGAAAGATATGGCTACCCTGCGCGACGCCGCTTGAACTGTTGGATCCTGTAGAAGGGTTTTCAAATTGCAGCGCGCCCATGGACTGGATGACATCCTGCTTCAGGTTCCGCGTGGGGCACGCGCGACGAGCGTCCACCGCGAGAACGGGGTGATCGCGAAAGGCCAGCGACTCAGAGCCTGCAGGGCACTGCAGGGTTGATAGATACTTGTTTTGCATGGCTGTGGATATGACGGGATCGCTGCAGCTGACTTCTGATGACCTCGTGTTTCCGCCGTCAGGGACAGACATTCAGACCGGTATCCTGAGCGGGATTTGTACAGTACCGGTGAGAGAAGCATCTTGGAAAGCAAGTCTGTCAATCCAGCATGCCAGCTCGACTTTGGACACGACGAGTCACTTCAACAGAATACGTACTTGACGTGCTCGCTCCACTGAGGACATCTTCAGCCCGACTCGCGAAACCATGCTGCGATCGGAAGCCGAATACCTGGCAGCGGAGCCCTCGGTCTGTGTTTTCGGATACAAATAACTACAAGATGTCGATACATGGCGTAATTATTGCGACATTCGCATGCTGAAAGCGATGAGCAGGGCAGCCGGTATTCATAGGGTCGCTGATGCAGGAGCTTCGGAACAGGCTCATCCATTTCCATCCCAGAATCTTAGAAGCCCTAGAAACTCATGAGGCCATTCCCAGCATGACCGCAATTACGGAGCTGGTGATGGGCTGAGCATTCTGCAAGTCAAGCGGGGCCTGTGCGGTGAATGGCAGTCTTGCTGTTGAACTGACTGGTGGTTGCTGCAGATCGGGTCGCAACCCGCACCCTTGACACGACCCAGCGCGGTGTGACAAGTGTCTAGACTTGTATTCAGAAAGCCGCCGCCCGTGCCCAGTGTTAGCACCATGCCAGTGCCTCGGTCAGGACCCAGAGAACTCAGTGCCTACAGCCGGGACAGGGACAGAGACGCAGCTCGGAGTCGCGAAGCGCCGCGCTCCTCCGCCACTTCGATCCCGAGCGCCTCGCAGGGCTCCGGCATGGATCTCAGCTCAACCCAGCTCTAGATGGGCCCCACATCCACCTTGCGGCGTAAGATGGCGTTTATAAGGCAGGGATTCGCGGCCAATTGGCGCCGTGGGTCGTGACAAGCGTGATGCACCCACCACGCCTGGCTTCTCATCCTCAGACCGCATCCTTGCGAAGTGGGCTTGTGTAAACACGAGTAGAACTTGACACCAGCACATATCAAGTTGTAAGGTAAGGGAGCTGCGGGTGGCACGGCCGCAGAGGTATAGAGGATGGCTAGCCTTCGCTCATGTCGACCCCTGATTGCTTCAATCAGGTTCATGCCGCAAAAACTTGTCAGCGAGTATACCCAGGCCATGGCAAGGGAACGAGCAAAGTCTGGCGACAAGAGAGACACTTGGACCCTCTGGATGCCTTCATGGTCGCTTGGTCGAAGCGGAGCAGCCTTAGCTTTCTTCCACTGTCGCTCGCGCCCTTCGTTCACGTTGCTTGTGCGCCGTTTCGGGGAGTCCTTATGTGGCCGTGCCGCGGCCGCTTCAGAAGCAGCTTGTCCGCAAAAGCGAAACCTGAACTCTTCTCGGGAGGCTGGTATGGAGCGGCATGGCGAGGCCTTTGCAACGGGCGACGTCGCTCCGGAACCGCCGAAGCCACCGACGCCACCACCGAGGCCATGCCAGGGCTGAGTGCACTTTTATGGCAGCACACTGTAACCGTCCAGGGATGGAAACAATGAGAGTAAGCTAGACATGTAGTTGCATGCAGAGGCTTGCAAGTCGATCTGTGACATCGACAACATGGATTTCTAGCCTAGTTCGGCATGATAGAATCTGGATGCCCGCGAAATCTGGCATGTAGCGAAGTGTGACACCACCTCGGGAAGCCGGTTGCTTTGGCTCTGGGTATAGAGTATGTGCAAATAATCGAAGTGAAGGCCCGTCAAAATTTGGAGGCCAGTTGCAGACATGCGCCGAAACCAGGGGTGACCGACTTAGACTCTAGTGCATGTAAATGCGGGTGCAAAGCGGAAGCATAGAGAGGTGAGAGTAGCAAACCTAAGGCCAAGATCGCTTTAACTTTACACTGGAGGCTACCTGGATAATCTTCCATGGTCCATGGGCATCCATGGGTGTCTAGGGCACACGCACGCGTGCACAGCAAATTCATCTTGACCCCACGCACCGAAGTTTGCTTGCAGGCCCGACAGACATCACCGTGGGGGTGACGGCTATCGAGACTCGCGTGGCTACAGGCCTGAGGCTGTGCGACGCGACTACGGTGACTACGGGGATGGATACCGGACTGAGCCTAGCCGTCCTACGGCCTACGATCGAGGCACGACGGACAGCCAGAGAAGGCATGAGACCGCTGACGGACGCAGGCCTTCTGAGCATTGGCCGCATGGCATTCCTGCCTATGGTGGCAGCACAGAACCTGTCCGCAGCGATTCTGGGTACCGTCACAGCTATGGTGGCTATGGCCATGGCAGTCACGGTGGCTACGACGGGTACCAGACCGAGGATCGCGGCCGAGGCCTCCGTGATAGGGACGCAGGTGTCCAAAGTGCGCACTACGACGTCTACGAGCGCCGAGATGGCCGAGGCTATGGCCCTGGCCGTGTCAACCCGCAGGACCTGTAACGAAAAAGCATCTCGTTATTGTCACGTCCAACAGTTTGGCCACGCTGACTCTGATAATTGCTGGGATGCCGCGAAGCACGAAGTTTGTGGCTCAACTTGCCAACCGAAGCTGCCCTGCAGTCTCGTGCATGACGGACCCCGCAAGACCTCAGTACTCCCCACCGGGCTGGATCTAAACACCCACAGCACGTTGGAAGCCAGAGTCAGAGTTCTTTGCCGGAAGCACATCGACAGCTCCATGCCGCATCATGGCAGCGCGCAGCTACTTCGTCACGGCTCAGCCTGCCACTGCCGTGGAATGTGTCCTGGGTCCAGTGGCCATTACTGCCCCCGGGGAGGAGGAGCAATCGGCCAGTGCCGGTAGAAGTGATAGAAACTTGAGGTAAGTGTCTCTCGTTAAGGTGTTCGACTGGAGAACAAAAGCTTAAAGCTCCCCAGTCCATGAGATCCCCTCAGCATCACAACTTTGACACAAGAATAGCTACATGCAGCCACCTAGTTCCTCGGACAAGCCATGTGGGTGCTTCCTATCTCACCTCGCAAGCTCGCAGATTCCAGCTTTTCTGAGCTGCCAGGGCAGACCAGATCCCAGTGTAGACGAACCTGCCCGAAACTGTTCATCTCACTGCCTTCCAGCATGTCAGTACATAGGGCTGCGTTCTGGCAGCTATGTTATGGCTGTTATGTCTCCTCAGCAGCTCTGTTCTCCGGGGCCAGGCTCGCTTTGTCATCTCAGGGGCCCTGACCCTTGCTTTTGCCCCCGAACTTTGCCCACCCAACTTGGCAAATCCACTACAAAAACTCGGACTCTAGTTCAAACAGCCAAGCCTATTGGCAAGAATGCGACGATCATCCAGTTGCAGACTGGGCGAAATAGAGGTTGGGTCATGTTTGGATCCCGCACTGTCAGAGGAGCTGGCCGTCTTCCGCGGTACGTGGGGGACTCAGCTCCAATGGTGTCGTATGCTGCCTTTGGCTGCCAGTTTACTCTTGCTTCTTGTATTCTTACATTGCATTAGGAAAGGGACGATCCTTGCGCCAGAGAAGGACATTGGAGATCTTCCGCTTCCAAGATGCGCAGTTTGTCCCGGTATGCACCGAGCAGATCCGCGAACAGGCCTCTGAACCAAGCAGATGAAACATCCGTCCGAGAGTGAGTGCTGAAAGAAGGATGTTTCATTTCCAGGTAATTCCAAGAAAGCGTGACAAATATACTTGTAATTGCTGTAGCCTTCTCCTTGGAGATGGGTTTAGTAAATCGCAATGAACTAGGTTTTTGGCTCGGTGGCACATTGTTCCGTTACCATCGTGGAAGATGTGACGGGGCGCAGGGACATGGATGTGATGACACTGAAGGGGTATTTCAACCCTTCAGTCTCGTGGTTTGTGTACCAGCCAAGAAGAATGGCTTCACTCCAGGTGTGCTGCATGCTGAGCTCATGGCAAGCCGCGAGCTGCGGCGAGCTGCTCATTCTCATCACGGCCACGTGGCGCAATTTGCAAGGGCCATCAATCGGATTGACCCTGTTCGCTCGGCCTCATTGCATTGCCAGTTGCAGTTGGCAGGTCGCTTTGAAGCTTGCCATCGCACGCGGGAAGCTTACCGCAGACAGTGCGATGTCAGACTCAGACTCTGTCTCGCCAGATTTGCAGGCTACGATGTCCAAACCAAGGAGCTGCGATGGCTCCTTGGTGGCTTTGTCGGCCGAGCTGCCAAGCAAAGCAGGGCCAAGCATGTGCCCAATCCAGGATTGCCACGGCCGATATGGGCAGCGCTGCCATCGCAGGGACAGCGCAGGCCCCTGCTGTCCAGTGGACCATCTCTTCGATCGCTGGGTCTGCACCAGCAGGAACCATCCTGCTGCTACTCTTCGAACGGAAAGCGGCTGGTTGCCCCCTGGAAGCCTTTTCATGCCAGTACCACTCTGTAATGCAGTAGAGCCAGTGCTGTCAGCTCGTGTGCGCCCAGCCACGGTCTCAGGTTTACCTGTACGGGAATGTCGTGGCCGTTGCCGATCTCGATGATTTTATGGATCCACAGCAGCCGGTCCCGGTTGATTTGCGTTTCAGCCGCATGTGGTTCGCAATTCGCTGTGCATTTGGGGACTTTCCCTGGTCTCACATTGCATCCGGAGAGGGGGGCTCGACCTTCTTGACGCTCTTGACCCTGCGTGAATCTCTTTTCCAATCATTGTCCCGCCCCTTCCACAGCACTCTGCTGGACCCGGTCCTGCCTTTGCCTTGTTGCCACCCTTACCAATCTTGCCCTCGTGACCCTCTCGCCCCTGGCTCCCGACACACTCGGGTATCAAGTTGCCGGCAAGGAAAGCTGCGGGGCGAATGTTTTTCACGCAAGTGGATGAGCAGATTATTGGCATGGAGTTCCTTGAGCGCCTCGCTGCAGCCGCAACTTGGCTCGCTTCCACTTGCAGGAAGGGCTGAATTCTTCGACGGCATGTTGGCAAGCGGGCTGTGCGTGGAGGGTTGGCAAGGACGACAGCATCGAGACACTTGCAGCTCTTCATGCCAATGGCGGCAAAGAGGAGGCGCTTTCCGTGGAGCGTTGCAGAAGCAACAGATCCAAAACACAGTTCTAAGGGATTTCACGGGCCGCTCTTCTGTGAGGGGGTTCAGGCAGCTGGACCTTTCCTCCCTGATGAGGCTGGGCCAAAGACGCTTTGTCTCCACTCGCTGGATGCACAGAAGAAGTGCGAAGCCCACAACAGCTCTAGAATCTAGATCTGGTGCCACACTCGAGTTGCATGTGCTGAGTCTTTCAGCTTTTGAGGAGCTTGTCCGTGGTCCAATCCGGCCAGCCGAGGCCAGTAAAGGAGCAAGGATTGGCAAGCACCTTCGAATTTCCGACACGCCATGGTCAAACAATGTAATAGCTATAGGCGATGTGCGGCAGCCGTGTCTTAGCGGTAGCCGCGTAGCCCGCCTCCCTTTCGGTGTGTCTTGGACTTGAGCTGCCGAGCTCCTTGGTCCCTGCAGCCGTCAGGCCCGAAGGACGCGGCTTCGCTGGGGGAAGTTGGCGCCTGGATGCCTCACGGAGCGGGGATCTTGCTCCAAAAGTCAGAAGTGCACATCTGAAACCCTGAAATCAATGCCCCGCGCTTTTCGGAGAGAGCAATTATAAGTATACATGTAGTTGTACGAGACAGCATTTATGTCTATGTCAAAGATCTCTTTGCCAGCAACCCTCCGGCCCCAAAAGAGTCGACTGATGTTCTCGTTCGTCGTTCATGTCTCGCGATACCCAAGAAGGACAGGTCAATGTAACCATGCAGTTAAATTTGACCTTTTTGGCACCAGTCGGAGCGACACGACACATTTCAATTCTTGTTTCCCTTGCTTCGGTCATTTCTGCTGGAACAGCGACGCTCGCTGGGCTCCTTGAGAGTGCAAGGCACGGGTCTTTAGTCGTGTGTGGGATCACGGAAGAGGGAACACACCAGGAATTGCGCGATCCCGCTGAAGAGCAATTAAATTTCAGTCAGGTCTCGGGCTAATCATTGAAGAACTTAGGCAATTGTCCAAGGGCCCAGCATGCGGCAGGGCGGACGTGAGAACTGAGAGCATGAGTCCAGCCGGGCAACGAGACAACGATGGCAGCGAGGCTTCCAACCGGTGGGCCGCGCAACAGCCACAGTCACGAGCAAAACGCAGGGCATCCTGCTGCATGTCTTGTCATCTTTATCTCGCATGCCCGCAGGACTCCCGCCGACGCTTCAGCAAGGCGATGGTTGGGTTCAGCGATGCAGACAGTGTATGTCCGATGTCACACCGCTGGCCTCTTCTGGGCAAAGCTAAGCCACGAGTGCCTGCGGCCCAGGCGGGTGACTGAAGCCACACTCATCGCAACCATCCCTTCTGCTGCTGGAGAGTGGGCTTCGCCCCGAGGTGGGTGAGTGCATAAGGAAGTAGCAGCAGAGCTAGTGTCGGCAGTTTCTGGCCCTGCGAGTCGCAGGTGCAATACTCGCCGCTTGGCTGGCCACAATATAGTGCAGATTCAACACAAGCTTTCGACTCCGAACATCAATCGACCCGTGGTGCCAAGAGGAAGTGGACAGCATGATATGATCTGACACTTCCATCGCGGGTGCTAAGGTAGTCGGTCCGACCTTCGTGGCCCTCTACGATGCGGAGCTTCGGCCATTGGGCGAGCTGCGAGCTGCCGGACCTCAGGACGGCTGTGAGTCTCCCTGTCTTTTTCCGTCGTTTTGACGTTGTCACTTCTCTGCTAAATTTCGGTGGGATTGTTCTTGTTCGTTCGGCGGGGCAGAGCGAGCAGACTGCCGTTCACATCAGACACATTCCGCGGCACTCTGGCTGGAGTACCTAATCGCTCTCAGATGTTGAATCCCGCCTTGTCCTCCCCTTCCTAGTTTATTCGTTGGGCCCTAACCCATAAGCCTGTTCACCATTTCATAATTTTACCAATCAGTTTGGCCCTAAACCATAAACCAGTTCACCATTTCATAATTTCACCAATCAGTTTGGCCTTAACCCATAAACCATTTCACCATTTCACCATTCATTCCCCCCCAAGGGCAGATCAATTAATTTTATAATATAGGGCCAAATTAACTGGTGCAATGGTGAAATGCTTTATGAGTTAGGGCCAAACAAACTAGTGAAATGGTGAACTGGTTTATGGGTGAGGGCCAAACAAATTGATGAAATGGTGACTGGTTTATGGGTTAGGGCCAAACTAATTGGTGAAAGGGTGAAACGGTTTATGGGTTAGGGCCAAACCAATTGGTGACATGGTTTATGGGTTTAGACATAGGGGCAAAGTAATTGGTGAAGGCAGTGAACGGTGAAATGGTGAACTGGTTGAAGGAGTTTTGCAGGACAGCGAGGAAATCCAGGGGGATATAACATTACCCATTAGTGTTGATATATTGTTATACTAGTAGATTCGCATATCAGCAGACTAATGTATCAACACATGAATATTTCAGTGTAGTAGTATATCTAAATTCTTGTATATTCGTTTATTAATGCAGTAGTGCATTAGTGCATGACTAAGTATATTGGTATATTAGTATGCTCATATATTCGTACATGAGTATATTAGTATACTAGTATATTTGTATATGACTATAGAGGTAAACAAATCTTTGAATTTTGGAGTATATCTGTAGATTGGTATAGTCCGGTATAGTAGTGAATTTTTTGTCATGGAGATGTTAGGGGGGGGCAGGGGGTGGAGGGAGCCCGAGTAGGCTCAGCAAGTGCTTTGTAAGCCCTCGATGCCTTCATAACCGGTGCACGCGAGTTAGCTGCGTGCTTTAATGCATCCATGGAATCGGGGATATGTTGCCCGGGCATTCACTGCAGAAGCTTCGAGCTTACTAAGCCCTAGCTCAGCGCTCACAAAGTACTCGCTAAGCACTTGAACCTCGACAGCCTCTATGTCGTGCTGTGAACACCGGCCCAAACAAAGGCCCTCGACATCCTCCAAGCATGCAGCTCCACCTAACTGAGGCCACTCGGTTAGTGTAAATCAGTATTAGTATTAGTACAACTCTTAATCTGGTTTTGTATCCGTACCATTATCATTAGTGCCAGTCCCAAATACAATATAAGTATTATTATCAATGTTTTCTAGCTACTCGGATCCTCCAACCGGCGCTGCCTCTCCGTCGTACCTGTGGATATGACGTCTGGTCGAAGCAGAGCACTGATGTATTGGAGCTTGATTCACTTCATGAAATCTGTGAACTTTAGAGGGGTAGCATATACATATATACATATATATATATACATATGCATATATATATATATATATATTTACACGCACATACGCCGACATACGCGTACAGACACGAATGCCGCCGCACATCTATCACTTTGTTGAATTGTGTGCTGTGTGCATGTGTGGACATTTGCCACAGGTACCCACGCGGCTTGCATGCGCGAACACCGCTCGAACTCGCTGGCTCATCAGTGGGGCATACGGAGATCTCTATTTGCCCCTTGGTCATGCCGACTTTGTGTGTCCCGCAAGTGCCATTCGATATCATTCGGCAGACCCGTGGAGTGCTGAGGTTGCGGCTGGAGGCACGCAAAGAAGTCGAAGCAGTTCAATACATGGACGCTTCAGTCCGGAAGTACGCAGACAGCGTCGGTGCCGAATGATTCACAACTTCGATGCTTTGTTTGTATGATGTATCACAGCAGGCGTCCAGCGAGAAAGATGGGATTAGCCCGCTGGTCGTGCAGTATTTGGGCAGGTCAGTTCCTGCTGGGAACCCAGTTGCTGAGGATATCATGTCCTGCAGATGCACCACGGACTCGCGTTGCCGAGGCCTCTGGCATTGCAGTTTTTCATGCTGGAAAATACATGTTCGTCGGGTCCAAGGCGAGATCTGATGTAGGCATTGCTAGCCGACATGCCGCATGCCACTGGCAGTGTCGAGGCAACTGACTCCGAAGTGCTGCTCGGTGACATGCGGACTGAACTTCCGCGTCCTTTTATACTCGATTGGAGACCCCGCGTGTCTCTCAAGCAGTCTAAGTCTAAGTCTAGCAGAACACGAAACCCGAGATCCTGTACGATACTGGACTGGGATTGGATGGCACGGAAGCCAGGGAACCATGGGTTCGGAGACCTGCCACGCTTTGGGCCCCACCTTCTGAAGGGATCCCTCAACCCAAACCGACCAGCAACTTTCCATTCTTTGCTGTCTCCCCTAGATTGTCATATGATGGGAGAGACCTCGAATGGACTCCAAGCCGGTTTTGCGTACACCAGCTTGCCAGAGATAGGAGAGGATGGATTTGGTGCCAAAGTCTGTCTAGGAGGCTACCACTCAACTGCTCAGAATTATTCAAAACCACGAGACCCGAACAAGCCCGGGCCCTTTCGTCCATTGCCTTTCCTCAAAAGTCCAAGGTTGCGGCTAGGTCAGCCGAGGAAAGACGCTCCCGCCTCCGCTGTCACTGCGGCAGGGCGCGTGCGGAAGAATCTGGAGGATGCTTTTGAGGCAAACGATCAGAATGTGTAGATGCATGTTTTGGGCTATAAAGCTACAAGTAGATATACGGTGGTTCAGTAGCCAGTAGCTAGTAATTAGTAGTAGCAGTAGTCATCGTCGTCGTCGTAGTCGTAGGAGTAGCAGAAGTAGTATTAGTAGCAGTCATCGTCGTCGTTGTTGTCGTAGTCGTCGTATAGTACTATCAGCAGAAGCAGAAGCAGCAGCAGCAGAAGCAGCAGCAGCAGTATGAGTAGTAGTAGCAGAAGTAGTAAGAGGAGCGGGAGCAGGGAGTGGGCGCCGTACTGGTAGCAGCAGCAGGGGCAGGCAGGAGCAATCGTCGTCTTTGTCGTCGTAGGCTCAGTGTAGCTCAGCGTAGTAGTCGTAAGAAGAAGCAGGTCAGCCCTTCGGTAAAGCTTTCAGAGAAGAGCCTAGGACCTTATCTAAAGAATTCACTGCTGATTTTGAGGGTATTAGGGGGCTTTAGAAAGAGAGCGCGAGAACATCTTGCCAAGACGCCTTCACATCATACAAGGGCCGGCAAGCCGTCAACAGAGTCGACACCTCCAACCGAGTCAGCGTCACAAGCGCCTCAAGAAGGTGCTCAAGTATGCCCCCAGCCTCCCCCGCCTTGTCCAAGTATGCTCGCTAGGTTTTTATCAATGATTCGCACAAAAGACATCGAACCCAACTCGAAATTCTGAAGCGCACAGGTGTTCACAGAACCGCACAGAAATTCACAGATGGTCACAGAATATCACATTTTTCACAGATCTTCACAGACTAGTGTGTGATGATCTGTGAAATTCAGTGAAGTTCTGTGACATTCTGTCTAAACCTGTGAAAACCTGTGAAGGCCTGTGGAAGGCCTGCGCAAACCAGAAAACGCAGGCTTCAAGCCCACCCAAACACCCGTGTTGCTGGATGCTCCGCTTGATTTGTGTTCCATTCTCCTATTGGTTCCCCGCTGGGTTTTTGTTTCGCGTGGTTTTCACGGAAACCTGGTGGATCCGCTTGAACACACCAACCGGATCCAATCCGCTTGAAACTACCAGTCGAATCCGCTTCTTTCTGTCGGCCGATGGATAGGGAACTAAAAGCTGCATGTCTGGTAATTGGTTTTGGGGTGCCAGTGCAACAGGCCGCCAAAGGCATGCAATTTAGTGGATAGCCGTTGGAAATAGAATGAAATGGATGTGTGTGTGTGTGTTGTGTAACGGATTCTATGATCCTGTCTCGGGCGTACTCGCGCTGGTTCGATTGTTTCCGCGGGCAGGTCGTTGACACATGGACCAACCTCGGACCCATCACCGACTTCTGCACCAAGGACTGGCTGCCACCGGTGGGAGGGCACGTCGTTGCTAAACCAGGCCTTTGTTTCAGACATGGCATCGCCTTGAGGATGTGGAGGGCCTGGCCTCAAGCGAGCTCATGACCTGCAGCGGCGTCGGCGACGTTGGATCCGTCCGCTTCGTACGGCTGGGAATTCCCGTCGAAGAGCTGGGTAGATCTGCAGGCCGTATAGAGTTGTAGATGAGAGGTTGAGCTTCACGAATATATTACTTAATTACAAAGGCAATGGGGTGTCTCGGACTCTTGAAGCATCTTCCTGGACGGCAGGATTCAACGCTGTCCTCGGGCTTTGGCCGCTGGGCTCGCATCACTTGGCAATATCCCGGCCTGGTCGGAGCGATGTGCTGGCTGCTAAAGGCCGGTCAAGTGGGGCCTACCGGGCCGACCAGCAAAGAAGTTCTGCTGCGTTTGACCTGTGAGGCGAACAGGTCGAGGCAATTTCGTTGGAGCAGGAGTCGGGTTTTCGGCATCATGAGGAGTCGCTCTTCTGCTGCGGCGGCAAGGGGCTTAGTCTTCAGAAGAGAAGGCAGTTACGGATGATTCTGCAGCATGCCTCCAGGTTTGGCCGTGGCGGATGGCAAAGAATTCGCATTGCAGGTCACGGCATCTGGGGCATGGGCATCCAGCCTGACTTTGGAGAGAATTCGAGCAGTTGCACAGTTCCTCGGATGCAAGCCATCTGTTGTAATTACGGCTTGCTGCAGAATTGCTGCAACTGGTATGGAGTCGCAAATAGTCGAAAGAAAGGAGTCGACATTGATGTTCTCAATTCGGCCTTGCGTTGTTCTGGCGACGCAAATGACATTCCGGGGAACTGGCAACATATGACCTCTACAAGAGTACAGCAGTGCATTGTCACGAAATGGCATGAAACAGCATCTAAGCGTCTTAGCCAAGGTGGTCTGTCGAGGGGTTCCAGGTTACTGTGGCTGCAGAACTGCGGGTGTGCAGCGCTGAAGCGATTGCAGGCCCAGCGCCCATGCTTGGATGCCTGGCACGTGTGGTTTCATCCATGCAGTGCAGGAGTACTTGTCGCATCGGCAGCTGGAGATGTTCGGGCGATCGAACTTCGCGAAGCAGAAGGTTGCTGATGTTTCAGACATCAAGGAGCCATGCTCTAACTGTTCGGAAGACAGGAAACTACGAGATGGCAGTGAGTGCCTCGTGGCAGCTACCAGGCCGGCCTGACAGCATCGCTTGAAAATGTAACTGTGAAGCGCGCCAGCACACTTTCGGCGCATCGGAGGCGAACCCAGCTGTCTGAGCAGCAGACACGAGCTGCTGCTTGCGGGGCTATGGACTGACGAGCTTTGCATTTTCAAAAGTTCCACAGAGGTGCGAACTCAGCCTTCTAGCCATGCCTTCTCCTTCGGGTTGTTGTATCAAGTTCGGACCAGCAGATTCGTCGCAGATGATATGTAGGTGCAGCGTCTCCCCTTGCCAACGCTGCCTTGGTCCACGACCTCCGCCTTCATCGAAGTGGCTCGGCCGGGGACCTTCGGAAGGCTTCGGACTCTGCTCGGCGGTAAGCGTCAAACGTTTCCTCGGCCGAGTCGGAGCTCCAGCTGTTTGCTGGCCTCCGGGACGGGCGCCTTCTCTGCGCCACGGACGACAGCGGAACATGGAAGGTCGCCCGCATCGTGCCTTGGGAGGGTTTTTGGACCTTACCACATGCTTCATTCTGGTCCTAGCCTGTATGGGATCGGGCTGCACAAGTCCTTGAGACCTTGGCGTGATAAGATCCGTGGAGCAGCCGAGCTAAGGTTTCTGTAGGAATACGCCCCTGCAAGCTCTTGGTGCTGCCAAGCTTCTCATCGCGCGAGTCCTCCTCATTTGTCGGTGCCCTGTCGCATCCGTGAGTCGTTTTGGAGGCGAGAAGTCTCAAAGCCTGTGAATACCACCAGATACTCTGACAAGGACCACAGCTCCAGGGGCAATGTGGGCAAGCGGTTGCCCCAACACGTCAGGCAGGACTCCAGTTGTTGTGCGGCGCTGCTGCTGCTGCTGCTGCTACTGCGAGCACTGCTAGTACTGCTAGTACTGTTGCTGCTGCTGCTACTGCCCCTACTACTGCTGCTGCTGCCACTACTTCTTCTTCTACTACTGCTACTTTTACTACTATTACCGGCAGAGCCACTGTTACTTTTGCTGCTACTACCTCACTGTGACTGGCCCCGTTCCCAAGACGCATGGAAATCTTTGGCAGCGTAGCTTTAGACGGACTGTAAGATAGCACCGCTTATCAACATCCAGTCCCTGTACACGTCAGGTGTTAATGTCAAGCATTACAAAAAAGATAAACCGGATAAGAAGGCACTTTGGGGTTGCGACTGGGGTTTTTATACAGGTCCGCATGAGCTGCTCGAAATTTGTTTCTCTGCAAGTCTCTGACTTTGGAGAGTGTCAGTGGCTCGGCCGCAATCAATGAGGCGAAGGAGATGCTGCTAGCCGTCAGCGGGCATGGTGTGATTCTGCAGGCTTGGCGATGAAAGCAACTATTACTCTATTGCTGATGCTAGCGGTGCGCTGGCGTTTCGAGCTAGGCGCGGCAACCGTTCCGCGTCGTCCACTCGCAGATCTGCTTGCCAAACATCTCCCATGCAGTCCCTCGGCTGGCGTCAAAAGGCCTGCTACAGAACACTTGGAATCACTGCCAGTCATTGGAGGCCTTCTTCGAGCGCGGTTTCGGTGGTGTTTCGAACGCCATGGCCTTCATCAGCCAAGAGTGCTTAGCCAGCACGATGCTGTAGCCTTCCTTGTGAGGCTTCTTGGACCTTCTGTGTGCAAACACATGTCCGATCTTTACGAGTTTAAGAGCCAAGGAAATTGGTGTTTGCGCTGCTCCAAAGTGGCCAGCGCATGCAGGTGGAAACACTCCACCTGCGTGGGGCACCGCACAGGCAGGGTCGGCAGAGTTTCGATTCCCGACCGGCCCCGAAAGATGGTGCCTTGGAAGTCCACCGCAAGTAAGATGTGAATATATACACGCACATCATAGAGAGGGAGGGAGGCATCGCTTTGGTTCCACAATGTTACAGCAGTGCAGAAAAGCAGGGTGGATACTACATATAAAATTATGCGTGTGTGCATATATATATATATACACAAATACATACATACGTGGGAGCATAAAAACAGATTTAATATGTGTCCACATGTATATGTATACACATACAGACATTCCTCATCATGTGCGTGTACCGGTGCAGTGCTTCGTGACTGGTTGTGCGGCTGCTGGCATCGCTTTCGGCCTGATCACTTTCGACTCTAGCCATGGCCTGTTTGCACACCTTGCTCCAGGATGGCCTACCATCAGTCCACCGGGATTTGTGCCGTGGGCTGCTACAGCGTCGGATGGCCAATGCCCGCGCACTGTCCCCAGGGTTGGCACTCAACCGGCTAGCTTCGTATGATTCGTTCTGACATCGTGGAAAGAACAACTTCAGATCGGATTGAAAGGGCTGATTTTATGCTCAGGTTGAGTCTCTCCGCACCGGCAAATTCCCGCGCCTCCATCGTGTTCGTCAATTCCGAGACTGCCAGTGTGCTGGACACCATGGACCTTGCTCAGGAGGAGTCATCCGTACGTGATCCGACATCCGCAGTGCTACTACATGCTGTTCCGGCGTCAGGAGCAAGTGGCATCAATGGTCTCCGTGTTCTTTCAGGGCGATCCAACTGAGTACATAGCTGCCAAGGCCCTGGCTTGTGAAAGGTCACGGCTGTCGTTTGGTGTACTTAGTACTTCATGTGCAGACCGGCTTTTGGCCACTCGGCTCAGGGACCGGTGCCCGGAGTAGGTCGTCTGACTGCGCTGGCGAGTTCTGCCTACACTAGCTCGAGCAGACAACTGCGAGGAGATTCTGCTTAACATGGTTTCGGAGAAGATGTGTGTTCTGAACTACGCACATGTAGGAGGGCTTGGGTTCTAGATGCTCAGGGTTGTGGCATGCTTGCTCTTAAAGAGCTGGGCAGCCGAGTCAGAGCCGGATCAGCGACTCTTGGCCTCGCTGCGTGCCTGGAGGCTTGAGCGCAGACTCGCCGCGAACAGCTCTCTAAGCTCCGGCGACTCGTATGGACGACACGCTTCAGTGCATCTGAGGTACATCTCACCATCCCTCGGGCCATTGGATGCTTGGTACAATGAAGTCGAAGTGCAAGAGAGCAGCACCAGCTCCTACTTCAGTGTGCTTGGCCATACATATGGTTATGCTGGAATACAACAGCTCACGGAAGACCCGTTTACAGGGAGAGTCATTTTTTCAATCTGGGATCCCCCGAATTGCAGCTACAATGATCCAAGCGCTTGCCCAGAGGAGGAACGCGCAGCTTTCACGACATGCGGCCCAGACACTGTGTGCACCCGCTTTGGTGGCGAAGGCAGCGGGGCCAAGTCCTACATGGAATGGAACACATGGCAAACGGACATGAAATACAAATTCCTTATACATGCATCTCAGCGCGGCAAAGAACACGTCGAATTCAGCTGTAGGTTTTATGCAGCTGAGTTTGGCTGGCGCACGCTTTCACGAATTGTGGTGCGCCACCGCTCAGACATGCCTCAAGGGATCGCTGCCATGTATTCGTTTGTTGAGCAGTGGACGCCAGCAGACGCTCAGGACGAGCGCTGGGCATCGTTTGGTCCTTCTTTGGTACGAGAAAGTGATGGATCGCAGAATGAGTGGATGCAGGTTACAAAGGCAAGATGGACACATTCGCAAGCAGCTGCTGAGGACACAAGGCACATCGACGGGGGCATTAGCTCCAAGGGATACAGATGGGAGCTGGGCCTGGGAGGCGACATTAACAGGGGCCTAGACATGTACGACAATCTCACCGTCGCCAAGATTGAAGCTTGTCCAATGCAGCTGGCTGAAGCGGTCTCGTTAGAAGCGGCAGGTCATTTGCCAACAGGACACCCTCCCAAGACAGTCGTGTCTTGTGGGAATCACGTTGCGGACACCTGCCAAGACTGTCCACAAGGCAATGGACCGCAGTGGTGTAATGGAGATTGCTCCTGGAATTGGAGCGTCTCCAGTTGTGAGCCAGCGTCGTGTCACGAAAAGCGTGGCAAGTCGTGCAATGGAGACTGCGAGTGGGACCCGGACAGCAACTCCTGCAAAGCCAAGTCTCGCCGACTACATGGTGTGCTCGACTGCAGCGGGGCGAACGACTTGCTGATGCCTCCAAGTGTCGTAGATGTCGCTGTAGATGTCGCCAGCCAGGGCACTTCTGCCATGCTCTGGATAGTGCTCGGGGCTGTTGCTGGGCCGTAAGTGAAGCTCTGCGTCGTCGAAGATGACTTTCGAGCGGATGTTTCAGCACACTGCCAAAGGGTCGCCTTTTTTGTGGCCTGCTTGGAAGACAAGTCGAAGAATCTCGCATCTCTGGGCCAAGAACAGACCATGCCTCGATGCAGTGAGGTTGGCACTGCCTTCGTTCATGAACGTGAGCCGGAACCGTCAAGAGGGCAGGCCAGTGACCTGTGCAAGAGTTCAGTCCCGGCATGGTGCCATGAGTCCACCAGGTTCGGCTCCTGGCCCCATGCGAAGCGGCCAGCTCAAGCAGCAGACTCAGCCATAGAAGCGCGTGTTGTTTTGTGTGTGTGTGTCTTGTGATTGGTAAACTTGCGTCCCTCACTCGCCCAGACCCAAACAAGACTCCTCTCCCTCTTCCGAGCCATGCGCCCAGGCGCAAGCAACTCCCAGGCCTGGGACATGGGGTCAGAGAAAGGTCTCTCGAGAGGCTTCGAGGAGCCGAAGCCTGGCTTCCTTCTTCTCTTCCCTCAAAGACCCCCCTCTGCCAAGAGAAGATCTTCAACACATGAAGGCTCTCAGACCACCGTGTAGGATCTGGTGTAAGAGTCCCTCAACATTGCCTAAAGACACGTATGCCGCCAGTACCAATGGTAAAAGTCTTGGCTGAATGCCCTCAGAAGTGTCCGTGGTAGCAAAGCAGCAGTGCCAAACAACACGAGTCTGAATCCGTCATGCTGATCAAGGACATAAACGCACTTTCCTGGCTGGCACAATGTCAGTAATTAGTAAAACAACTGCGAGTATCGGAAGTGTTTGCTTAAGTAACCGAGGAATTCGTTGAAGTAGGCATGCGAGGAAGAGCACACTGTACCACCTCAGGCTTTCTAAGTGTACTTAGCTGGTAGAAGACCCTCATCCCGGACTTGAGGTCTTGCCTCTGCAGATCCCACGTCAGGTCTTGCCTCCCTTCAGGGAGGTGGCGTGCTTGGAGGTGGCAGGCGCAGTCTACGCTTTGCTCCCACTTGCAGGGAAGCTCCTCGGGGCGGTGCCTCGATTGAAGATTGCCCTCTGTCATAGACATCGGAAGTTGTGGCATCGCAAAGGTCAACAACCGCCTCCAGCTTTGGAAGCTGTCTCACGAGACTGGCGAGGATCGCCTTCACCTGGCGGAGGCACAAGCTGCTAAGTGCTAGCTCGGCTTATAAAGTTGATCTTCGCACACCGCGATGTACTGTAGCGGAAGCGTGAAGTGGCTCGAAGCAGAACGTGACAGCAATTGAAGTCCGGCAAGTGACCCCGATCAAGTTCTAGCTGGACGAGTCGTTGCGCGTGCCGGGCATGTTTCATGACTTCCTGGTGTGCCAGGAGTGCGCTGTCTACCGGCATGTGAAAGTTCTTGCCTCCGCCTGCAGGTTCAGCGGCACCACGCTGGCCTCATCATTCTGGACTTGCAAGCGAGAGGTAACATGACTGAATGTTTCGGTTTGGCGTCAGTCTTCGTGTCGTCTCTGCTGTATCTGCTACAAAATCTGATATCGTGAGACTGATTGATCTCATGGCGGACTGAACAGACACTCTTGTTGGGTCTCATTTTCATGCTCTTGTCCTTTGCATCGCTCACCCCGCCGCTGGACTCATGCAGCGAAAAGAAGTGGCCCCCTAGGAAATGACGTCCTCGTCGGCGACATCATGCGTTCAGTCAGCCTACTGCGCTTGAACGAGTCACAGGCCGGCTGCGTCTTGTCTGCTGAGGGTTTCCACTTCCAAAACTGCCCAGAGCTGACGAGGAGCCTTCTTTTGAAGTCCTGGCTTATGACCAGCTGTCTGCTTGGTCGACTGCTGTGGACATGCTTTCAGAAACTCACTTCTTGTGCCTTGGGTTCTGAAGAAATTTCAATGCGAACTCCCGTTCTTTCTTGCAGTTTGCTGGTAAGGCCCTGCATGGGGAGTATAGTAGAGAGTACAGACCATGTTCAATTGAAGACAGGTGCGCGGACGACTGCGGCAACCTGATGTCGCTGGTCCCAGGCGAAGTGACGAACGCTCAACCAGACCAGGCGACTTCGGAGGTGCCACCCGGCAGAACCGGGTGAGCACGAAGAAAACGAAACATTAGAGTTGATGCTTCGCTGAAAGCCTATTGGCCCTAGGCTGTCGAATCTTAAGCGGCAGGCTTCACTGACACGCTAAGGAAGATCTTGGAGCGGGTCGCTGTGCAGCAATGGCCTTTCATCGTATTTGGGTGGCTCACGCCTCAACCTCGAGTGTTGAACCGTTGCCTCTGCAGCTCAGATGGGTCGGCTGCACACTGGAGAGTTTGTGCCGCTCGACCTGTTGCTTACCCTTACTGTCTCATCGTTGGGTTTCGGATTGAAGTCTGTGCGGCCGAAGTGATCCGCGTGCAAAGTTAAAGCGACCAGGAACCGCTTCCGGAAAGGAAGCCTGGGATTGAAAGTGAGCACGCATCAAAAGACAACGAGCACCATTTGGGCGGCTTGGCCGGCCAGAGTTCTGGTGACATTCCATTCTGAAAGAGTGACTTCTGCCATTCTCTCCCTTTAGAGTTGAGGCCAGCGTATCTGGTGCTTTTGGCCTCGTCATCCCCCTTTCTTGCGACAAAAGTTTCACGCGCCTCTTGATGCTACAGGACTGCGCTAGCATGGCTGTTTCCACACATGTTTGGGAGAAGCCATTGAATGATCTCTCTGTCAGTGCATCACCACAGGGAGCCTGCTGCGAGTTGCCTGGAAGGACTCCATGGCAAAGCGGTTGCAATCTCCTTTTTCTCATGGCGACTGGCGTGATGTTCGATTGGACCTGCAGGCAATCGTGAAGCGTATTCTCCTTTGCGTTGTCAGAAGTGCTACCTACGTCTTTTGATGCCAACCTCGAGCCCCTGCAGGGTGAGACGGCGGCACACGAGGGATTTGTTGACGGAGACCTGGTCGAGCGCTTCTTGGAGATACCACAGGATGAGCAGGAGGCCTGTGAGCCTACTGTGCACATAGCCGGGTAGCCTTCTTCACGTTTCGTGCAGTTTCCGCTGTCCAGACTCGTGCAGATAGGTCGGTTGACAGACTGGGGAAAAGCTCTGTGGGTGTTTGTGCCCATTGCGGCCGTTTTGCGAAGCAGCACATATTCGGACATCTCGTGAGGTTCCCAGTCGCCTGCTTATGATTGTGGGGTCATCAACTCAGCCATGTATCAGGCAAGCAGAACGCAAATTCGTACAGCTGTAGTGCCGCTGAGTTCTCAAAGGCTCTCGTACTTAAGTACACATCTATCCCCGTACTCCTGCACGGGTGTGCTCGTGGGCATACAACGCAGAGATACGACGAGATACGCAGAGAGACATTCGCAAGGAACCAGCACACGCATACATAACACGCACACACACACACACCACCCATGTCAGCATACATTCACATCTACATACGTCAGATGTGTGTGTGTGTGTCTGTGTTTGCTTGTAAATGTACGTACATAAAAAGATCACATGATACGCGTATGCAATTTGCATACACACACACACATATATATATATATGGTCACACACACACATATATATGTATATTATACGTATATGTATACATATATATATATGTATATGTATATGTATATGTATATGTATATGTATATGTATATGTATATGTATATGTATATGTATGTGTGTGTGTATATGTATATGTATATGTATATATTTGTTGTATTTGTTTATATGTATTATGTGGTTATACGTATGTATGTATGTATGTATGTATGTATGTATGTATGTATGTATATGTATGTATATGTATGTATGCATGTATGCATGTATGCATTTATGTGTATGTATATGTATATGTATATGTATATGTATATGTATATGTATATGTATATGCATGTAGGCATGCATATGCTACACCCAGAACTTCTTAAAACCTATCTGCAAGCTTGTTTTCCTGAAAAAATGACTGCAGACCGAAAGTCTCAAGCCTTATCCCCCAGTCCGAAGCCATAATCGGAAGGTCCGCCCAGAAACAATTCCTTCAAAGAGACGCGGATAATGATCAGTCTGCTGTGGGCTGTTGGCGAAAGGTACTAGCAGTTCCGGATGGTTTGACCTTAGCCCGAAGTCCTCACCTGGTACCCCCGAGTTGCGAGTTGCAAAAGTTTAAACAAAACCCTACCGCATAATTGAAACATCTTTTGATTGCTGCCACTGAAGCTTACGGGTTTGGGGCTTAGGCCGCTCCCTTGTGCTGTCACCACAGCTCGGTGTCTGCGTGACTAAGTACGTAAGCCAAAACGCACAAGCTTTCTGGCCACTGTTCTCCTTGCAGAGTGAAACTAAGTGTGAAACTCGCTGGACTTTCGGATTCACTTCCTCGGAAATATAGCGTTACGTCTCCCATAACTCGTGCATATCATCCTGAACATCTGCTGCAGACGCGGAGCGAGGAGGGTGCCATAAAATGCGCGCACACAAACACACGCACTCACGCGTGAACACGCGAAAAACAAACTGTTGCAAACTGTTGCGATTCGCTACTTAATGCCGTTGTGAGTCATTCCATTCAATTTGCTTGTGGTGCTTATGATGTGATTGTGTTCTCAGAAGATGTCAGTGGCATCGATCTCGGCACCACTACAAATCACATCGGCCCTGTCCATGTAATACAACGTCATGGCCATTGTGAGGCCCGCAAGTAGGATGTTTGTGTCAGTCAGTGGAGTAGACGTCTTGATTCGAATGGGACGCAACCTGTCGCGCAGGCTTAACTTCATCTCGAGCGGCAGTTATCTTAACTTCATGATGCGATTTGACGTTACGTCAGATGCACGAGTTGAGAGGTGGTGGCTGCAGAGCTGGCAGAGAAGGGACTGTTGAGTCATGAGAATCCGCTGGAGGACTTGCTCGCCACCCGATATGAAGTGTAGCTTAAGCTTGCAAAGCTTCAGGATCAGCCGAAAGCATAGCAGTTCCTGCAGAGCTTGTGTATTCAAAGTATGATGCCGAAGGAGCTGCTGCGCGAAGTGGAGACTCTGTGGCAACTGCACTAGCAGCCACGTGCCGCTCCAAAACCTGTTACGCCCAGAATCGCCAAGACCCTCCATTTTCTTGCGGGCTTGGGATCGCTGTGCTTGCAAGGCATTGTTTGCAGCAGTCATGACAGATCGTAACTTGCATGTCTTTTGCTGTTTCTTCGCTGCATCGCTTCGTGCTGCGAAGCCGTGCTGGGTGTAACAGCTTCTCCTGTGCCCATGGCAATGCCACATATCTGTGCCAGCAGGCCTGAGAGCAACACCGCGCAAGACGCAAGCATACAGGGAAGGGGAGTAAGCAAGCAAACCGTTGAGCCAAGACAGGGTTGACAGGGACAAAACCACGTGTGAAGACACAGTGTGTGCTAAGTGCGCTAGCTGCTTAAAGCCTCGCGCGCCATGTCGATTGAAGAGCGGTCGAAGCGGTTTACACCAAGGGTGTCCACGGCTTTTTGTATGGCAAGAGCGCGCCTCTTAGGCCCAGTGTAGCCAACGGGAAGCTCAGCAGGTGTTTTGCAGCTGGAAAATCTTAGCAGCAAAGATTTTGGTGAGATTACGAGAGGTGTGCAAAGCATGTGCAAGCCTTATAGGCCTTTCATGCCTCTGGTAGCAGCAAGGTGTGGAACGGTGGCCAGGGTGGCCAGTGCCCACTCACGCCAGCTACAAGGGGCCTCTGCCAGTATCATGTGGATAGGGATGAGGAAATTGGATTGAACTACGGGCGTGTTGATGGTGCCTTCGCGGCAATTCAGCTATTGCTTTGTTTTGTCTCTCCTAGACTCTGCCAATTACCTGTCGCGATTGTAACGTGAAGCAGATTGTTTCTTTATTTTTCTGGCCCAGCAAAGGTTCAATCCCAGAGGAAACGCTACTGGCTTTCGAGGCAGCTGCTGGGACAAGTGACACAAGCCACTCCGCTAGTTTAGATTCATAGAGCTCGTGGCAGAATCGATTCGAGTGTCTTTCGTACAAAGGTGCTTAGGGCGATGCAAGGTCTGACTCTTATCCCTGACGTCCGAGACCCTCATACTTGGCACTACGAGGTTTTCGGTCACTGTTGATCGTGTTTTGCTAGTTTGGATCACTTACCGTTTGGCGCTTGCTTGATGTTGAGCCCCACTGTGTCCGTCGCCAAACATACGTAGTCTGCACATATTGCGTGTTCTGATGATGGAGGACAGCAAGAGAAGAAGCAGGATAGAAGGAAACAGTGAACCAAGCCAAGGCTACGTAGAAGTTCCAAACTGGTGACAAGACTCGCCTCCCATCATTGACTGCTGGGCCTGTCTATTGAGGCCCAAGCAAAAGCAAGGGGCAGCGCCAACAGCGGAGCCGCAGTGGCGCACGCGAAAGGAGAGAAGCGAGCCGGCAGGACTGGGAGCCAAAACCCTGGTTGCATGCGACTTGGAATTCGACATGCAAATACATGCAAACATGTTTCAGAGGAGATGAGGGCGCGGTCAAAGCCGAAGGCAAGGCCAAAAGCCAAGGCAGAGGCAAAGGAGCCTGTCAAAGCTGACAGGACCACGGCTTGAATGTGTCGAAGTTGCTTCCGCAGTTTTGGCAAAAGCCTTGAAGTGCCCGCGAGCTTGTGTCCAATATAGTTTTCCATCACATGTGCGGCGCCAGTGACGGGTTCCATGGGGCATGTTCGATGCAGGAACGTACACGGCGACCGCCCACGCTGCACTTCACGTGTATGGGCAGGTGGCCAAGGTGGACAGTGCCTTGGCGATATGCCGCTATGTGCGATGACGTGATCCATCACTGCTTACGCACGTGCATGGCGGTTTGAGCTGTTCTGGACTTCAGATTCAGGTGCGCGAGGCACTGTGAAGTTGAAGGTGGCCTTTGCGGCTTGCATGCGGCAGAGGCAGCCAAACTGGGATGCCCGAAACACGGGTACATCCACGGTGTCTCGGAAGGCTTCAGGGGGTCCTGGCTTATCTGCACCAGCAAGCTACGTGGAGCATGAAGAGTGTAAGTGTAAGTAAAGTTGATCTCGCGTCTGTGGAAACACGAACTGCAAGCAGTCCGGCAATGTGTGCTCAGCTCAGGCGACATCCCCGAAGGAAAATACATGGAATTCAAAAGGGAAGCAGTGCCTAGGTCAGAACAAGTTCAAGACAGGTTCAATATTCTGCAAGCGTGCCAACTCTGTTCAGGACAGGAGGGGGTGGTCCACGCCGAGTCCACAAGCTCCGCCGCCTTATTCTCAGGGGTCAGCGCAAGCGACAGCCTTTGGAAGACTTAGTCACTTAGCCAATCCTGTCTCAGACTGACATCCTCACAGAATCCACGGCATCTGAAAGGCCTGGTCCTTCCGGTGCCAAACAGAAGCGGCCGGTGGGGCGCCCACGGAAGTGACGCAGGCTTGTACAGAATTTTCACAGGCTCAAGCAGACGTACACATGCTCGGCCTATTGAAACAAAAGTCAGGAGGCGACGCCTTTCAAGTGTGCAGGCACCCTGACGAATCCGGCTGATTCTGCCACGGCAAGCCTCCGCCGCTATTCATGGAAAGCTCTCAGCACGAATAGCAGCAAACCAACACAGTAAGCCGGTAGGCGACAGCTCAGGGAATGAGAAGCATGCACACGCACAGACACACAGAGACACACTAGCGTGGGGCCCGTTGTCTGTCCCCAAGCTGACGTCTCGCCTCTGCTGTCCGCAGACTTGGACATCCGCCCACTGCAATGCTGGGCCTCGATGCAGCACCCGACTCAGCGGAGGAGCACTACCTGGACTTTTCGGCTTTCCCCAGTGTCAGGGAGTGCCTTGGCCTGTTGATATTTGGGAAAGAGCTGACTTAAGTCAGAATGGTATGAGTTGTTTGTCGTACGAGGCTCCTGGTTGCCAGTGACCAGTATGCGCGTCACAGTGGCTGCCGCTTCCGAAGAGCTTCTTTCGAGGATCCGGAGGAAGGCGAGACGGCGAGACCTCAGCCTGCAAAAATCCCGGTTTCTGCGAGTCCCTGTCAGGCTCTGACCCAGAGCTGAAGGCAGCGAAGGCGCAGGCTGCCCCGGTTGTGAAGGACTGGTGAGGGATTCGCAAGGCGCTCTGCATGTAGAGCCTAGAGGTCTGTGTAGTTTGGTTGGTTGCTCTCAGATGAAAACATAGCGTGCATGTGCGTATCTCGAAGCTGGCAAGCGAAGGAGTTTCTGACCAAACTGGAAGGGTCGCCAGACCAGGCGCAAAGTCCAATCTGTGTCAGCCAGTGATGGAAGCGAAGCCTATGTGAGGTGCTGATGAAAGATTTCAACGAAGCCTTCAATATCTTGTGGACCGAAAGCATGCGCAGCTCCATGGTGGCCAGGTGCCAGCTCTTACACATGCTCCAACGCAGACTGCTAGGATGATGCATGATCCTGGTAAAATCTGAGTCCCGATTGCAAATCGTGCAACTGGCAAATTCGGATCGTGTGGCATTGCCCTGGGCGTTTCAGGTGCCACCAGCTCGATCTCTGGCCACCAACCCCGGCGCCAGTTGGCATCACGGATGACGATGTTGACTATGAAGCGGACACTACGCCCCCTTGTTGCAACTGTGTGCCGGTTTCTTCTTGCTGGCAGCATGGCATGATCCCGGGTGCTCCTTGAATTCGGACGTCCGGGAGGTATGCAGCTTGACAGTGGCTTGATGCTAGGTGTATTAGCATGTACGTGCTCGCCGCTCTCCGCATAGTTAGTATAAAACCGCCAGGTGCCTTTTCGCGCTTGCTCAGCGATTGTACAACCACGACTCTCGGCACAATGCCTCCACCAAAAGGCTGGGTGGGTGCTACAGGCTGTTCGGAAGGTCCTGCGCTCGGAGAGACTTCGAGACAGGCGATTGTCCACGGCTTCCTTCCTTGCCGACTTCGCCTACGAAGCCGGCATTCCAACACCGGACTTCTTCAAGAGCAGGAGTCCCGTTCTGGACAAGTTCCACAGCAGAAAGAAGGAGACCTTTCCCTGTGCCCTCCGCTTAGGTTGTCTATGCGTGCAAGCATCTAGAAATGCCAGCACCAGGTTCGAAAAGATGGCGGATGAGTACGAGGAGCAGTTGTTCTCGCCAGCGACACGTCGCACTCACAAGTGGTGGCTACCATGGAATTTGCAACCTGGCTGTCAATCGCGGGTTCGAAGTCGAGCAAGGTGCACAGAGGCTTTCGCCCAGGTAGGCTTTCTTCCTGAGCTAGTTAGAGGTGCTTTGCACCGCTCCCCCCCTTAAGCAAAGGAGAGAACGACCGAAGAAATGTTTGCAGAGCTGGCGTGATAAACCTCAACTCTGGCCGCCCCTCCCACCGCAGACTTCAACCTGCAGGTTGCGGACTCTGAATGCCAGGTTAAATGCAAGATATACGCCCATTCAATTTCAGGATTTCAGGGCCCCCTGACCTTGACCTGGGGTGGAGGTATTTTTCACGCTCAGCCCTCCGTGCCCAGACAGGCCTTCTCCGTCTTTTCCCATGTATGCAGGCACACCTTTCCTCTAGGATATTTTGGAACGTTGTAAAGAGTGAGTGAGAGGCAGGTACATAATCGGGTGGAGCTAAACACTCTTTTTCTCTGTGTGAGGCATCCACGGCATGTGTTTGAGAGAGCGGAGCAAATTCCGAGAGAGAGACGGGCCCCTACTAGGCCATCGACAAAGAGAGCGTCTGTGCTGAAGGCAGGAGTACCGGACACGAACACAGGCGTAGCGCGAGTCAGCGCGAGAGCGCAGGGGGCAGGGGGGTGGGGCCTTCCTCACTTCCCAAACGCCCGGCAAGCAAGCAACCAAGCCAGAGAGAGAGGCTCAAGTGCTGCACCTTTGCTTAGGGGTCTGTGACACTCCTTTGCATAGGGGAGGGAGGTGGCTGGTTGACCAGGGGTGTACCCCCTTGGGAGCCTGTCCACTTCACTCCAGCGGTGCTTGAGTCACACGCCCGCCACATTTCTCATCAAGTGGCCCTTCTGTGTAGTGCCTCGCCCTGCAGCCATAGACCTGTACGTCCAGTTTGCTGCTCAACGCGTCCTCTCCTCCTTCGGAGTTGTCCTCGGTGACCTCGGTGACGTCACTCCAGGAGGGCAACTGCAGTGGAGGTTTCTCTTCCTTGTGCCGTTTGTGACCTGCTACCTGAACAATACCGACGACTCTACACGGGGGACTACCCTGCGGAGCCGACCTACTCCGTGCACTTCACTGGGTGAGGTTTTACCCGTACGCAAAGGTCGTGATTTTGGCCAGGACACCGCAAATAATGTCTATGCCCACGATGGAAAGCGGGGGCCACCCGCATAAAGGCCCAAACGACACTGGTGGTGCTGAACTGCCAAGGAAGCTCAAGAAACACGCGAAGGACCGAGACCGTGACAGAAGTGGAGGAAGTGAGCAGTTGTGAGCCGGGTAGCGCCCTTTTTTCCTGCTGGGGGAAGCATCCCATTGCATCTTGACGGGGAAGACCCCGAAGGAGGCTGAACTCGGAATAAACCCGGTTGTTGTATTGCGATCTTGGCTGTTGTAGTTACTCGGTACCCATATTCCAGTGAAGCCGTTCTTACTCTTTGTTTTCGGTACTGGCCGTACTGCAATGCACAATTTCTGTCCACACGACCACTCTCTCCAACCTTGCTAGTCGCCTTTTGGGGGATAATCCCCTTCTCTCAGCTGTATTCTAGTTCAGACGGGCCGCTGGAGCCTCCATATACCACTGACTTGCCTCCGACCTGAGGCCATGTACCATAGTTCGTCCCGCTTTCTCAGTAATTCACAAGGCCAGTACTTTGTTAAGGTTTTCCAGGTCCACTCAGTATGGTGTGATCATGTGTCGCATTCGCACAGGGGGTGAGTCTCTTCCCTTTTCTGCTGACTTAGCTGGTTTGTGTTTCTTAGCTTGAGGTTGGTCCTTTTATTTTGCATCCTGTGTATGTAATTGCCGAGAAGGGGAGCACTTTCTCTGAGTCTTAGGCGATGGCCCAAACACCGGGAATATTTGCCTCGATTGCGCATCGCTTTTGTTTACTACTGGCCCCGCAACAGTCGGGGGCGCGGACAGCGCACGGGCTGGGGAGAAATCTCCGGCCCACAGCCCTGGCCAAAGAAAGAGAGAGAGAGAGAGAGATATCAATCGGGGGGCCAACTGGCCGGGGGGTTTGACANNCCCTCATGCCATGGGGAAGAAGAAGAGAAAGCGGTAGCGGGAGCGCGGGCGGGGAATGGGGGAAAGGGAGAAGGAGATAGAGGGAGAATCAAGAAGGCCTGCAGAAAGAGAAAGAGAGAGAGA